CAGTTTTAATCGATTTAGGACAAACTTTACGAAACTCTGCTTATTATAAAACAAATAGTTCATCCACAAATTTGTGACTTAGATAGATAAAACTTAGTGTGTAGGGGAGATTAGCCTAAAATGGGCTCCGTGTCTAAAGCGAACACTCTCGCTAATTATTAATTTTGTTTCAAAGAAGTGCGTGCTTTCAACACGTAGCACTCTTATTGTTATACACTTATTATACCGGGTATTAGAAGCAATTTTAAACGTCGGTGCAGGTCAGTCAAAATCGCGTCTAATACCCGGTATTATAAGAATTTGATAATGCAGTGCGATAGTTTAAAAGTCTTATTTTATTAGCATTTTCTTGAATAAGTAGTTTTTGAGATAAGTAATATTTTTCTCTTTTTTAAGTTTGAAGACGGGTCTATTTTTTAAGTTTCTTTATTTCATGCTTTTTAGTGATATTGATATTTTTATATAATAGGTAACACTAACATAATTTTCAGAAAACCGCGTCAAAAACCATGTTAAAGTGCGAACCTCAATTTTTTAAATCTGTTAATATCCCTCAAACCTTCTCCTATTCTCTGACAAATACTATGCTGAATGCACTAGCTTTCAAATAAAAAGAATCATCAAAATCGGTCCACTCAGTAAAAAGTTATGAGGTAACAAACAGAAAAAAAAGTCGAATTGAGAACCTCCTACTTTTTTTGAAGTCGTTTAAAAACCGCGTATAGGGATTTTTAGTGAACAAAAATTATTGTCTGCAATACTTATATTTCAACTCACAAATAAATGAAACAGTAAACTGACCCTTGTTACCTGTTAAAAGTCAAATAATCAATGATTATTTTGAAATTAGAATGTTTCCCGCGCTTTTCCTAGATAATTTTACTGTTTTACTACTAATTTATCCACAAAATACGTCACGCGCTTTGATTGTTGTTTTATTTGACACAGACAATAATACATAAAAAATATATTTTTATAAAAGTTATATTTTTATGTATTGATTTAAAAATATTTATTGTTTAGAAAAAATATTCCGTGAATAATATTTAACCCTTTCAGGACCATAACGTAACGGTGATTTATGTAATCATGTCAGCTATTTAAAATGACTCATTAAGCATAAAAAAAGCATATTCTAAAATAAAACCAAAAAAAATTATTATGGTTTTTTTGGAATTTTTAGGGACAAACGTGTCCCTATGGCCGCTAAGAGTTACTTTTTGCTCACATAACGTAACCATAGTTTTTATCAATTATGGGTATTATTCTAAAAAAAATGCACTGTTGAAAGTATTTTTTATTTATTACAGCAAAATAGAGACAAAAGACAAAAACTAATTATGATACTCAGCAAAGCAGTTCCTTTCATTAGTGTAACAAAGGTGAACTTCACATATAATACACGTGTTATTTGTACGGTTTTCTTTCTTATTTTTGGCGCACTGTACGCATCTTTTTCTATTATTTGATTTTTGCATAGGGTGGAAAGGCAACTGCCTTTTGACAGACTTGCGTACTATACTCGTTTTTGTAGTTGAAATGCCTCGTTGCCTAACTGTAAAACCATTTATCAAACTTCGAGCTACTACTTGCCTGAACTGCAAATTGGTCAATAGACTTCCTTCTACGCGTTTTTGATCGTGAAGCTTAGTATAGACAGTATATGCGTTATTTACTGATATATCAAGGAGATCAAAAAATAAACGTAAGTAATATTTTATTTTCGATCTCCTGTCTATTTCATAGCACACTTTACGTTGATCCATGAGATCTACTCCGCCCATGTTTTTATTATAATGCGATACAATCCTAGGGCATATTACATCAATTTTGTCAGCAGAACCAGCTTTACGGCGTTTTACAGTGACTCTTTCTACAGGCGATAGAAAGTTCGTCAACAAATATACCGCTTTATTGTCCATCCACTTCACATAAGTTATACCATGGAAACTTGTGGTGTAAATATCTCCCCGCTTCATGTTTTTATCAAGGGGTGCAGTTTTAGGTAGATGTTTTCTGTTGATTCTTACAGTTCCACAGGCCTTGGTATTCTGATCAATCAGGGTATATTGCAGCATAGGCGAATTGAAAAAATTGACGATATAAATTTCGCATCCTAGGCCTTCAAGCTTTTTCGTAAGCTGAAGCACGACTGATTCACCTAGCCCATATTCTAACCCGGTAGTTCTTTTTCCGGTATATAAATCGAATTCAAAGAGGTATCCGGTTGTGGCATCACACCTACACCATAATTTGAAGCCCCATTGGACAGGCTTATTTTTTATGTATTGTTTCATTACATTATGCCCTTTGAATTTTATCATATGCTCGTCAATTGATTGTTCCTTGGTATTATTGAGGGCATTTTGAAATGAAGAATTCAAATGTTCCATTACTGGCCGGATTTTATATGCTCTGTCATAATTAGGGCTATTGGTATCTCTTACTTCTGCATTATTACAGAAGTGTAGATTCCTACGAATATCTTCAAATCGAACTCTAGGCATTACATTTGATATAAAAGGCACTCCCATATCTGGTTCTGTAGACCAATAATCTCGCAATGAGGGCAAAATATGGTACCCCATAACTAAATTCATACCCAAAAATGCTCTCATTTCTTCAGTTTCAATAGTGAATTCCCGTCCATTTTGATGAGCATATTTTATTGACTCTGATACAATATTTTGAACTAAAGAATCAAAATTAGTCGTGGAACAGAAAATATCAAAAGGAGTCAATGCCGTTTCAACATCTTGGTAGATTTGCACCTTTCCAAATTCATATTCCAGATTACGAAAAGTATTTGGGACGTAACTTCTTTGGCTCCATTTGAAACTCGGTTGACGGTTGCGATCTGCGTGAGCTTCGGGTTCTACTGTAGAAGTTGAGGGTTGAGGTGACATACTTGTTGATTCCTGAAGATCAGATGTCCCATCTTCAATTTCGACAGCTAAAATTCCTTGGTCGTCATCCTGTGTCAGAATTTTTTGGTCTTCTTCGTCAAGCAGTAAATCGGATTCATCATCACTATTATCACACATCAGAATGTGCTGGATTTTACTTTCCTTGAGTTCGAAAACTCCACGTCCCTTACGAAACATAATCTGCAACAATATCAACAAAAAAATATTGTTATTCAACAAAACCAATCAATACAAGAAGTCAAATAATCACGATAAATAATAGGTCTTTACGACCATTGGGACGCCAATGTCCCTTTGTGTATGTAATGACTTATAAATGTAAACAATATAAAAAAAAGGTTTGTATATATATAAAATAATAAGTTACTTACCAGACAATTATAATTTTACACTAGTAAACGCTTGAAGACACTTGACACCCTCTAATTTCTTTTACAAAATGTTACTTTTTCGCGCCAAACAAACTGTCAATTTCTAATAACCATAGACAAAAATAGGTGTTTCCTATATAGTGTTGCCAGCTAAGAATATAATAAAGACATGTTCAAAAACCAATTAATTTATTAAATACAAATGTTAGTCTCTTGGATATTTTTTTTTCTTTTTTATTTGTCAGGGACACATATGTCCCCGTGGTCGTGAAAGGGTTAAACTTTATGAGCTTTTATAACCACATACAACATAATTTTTTATTAGAATTCTGTCCGATCCCCGATTGTGAGAAGCGATATAGGGATACTTGACAAATTAGCGCCAACTAAATTAGGGATCCAAGTAAAGGCATCTTAAATCAGTATAAAAAAAACATGAATTATATAAAAAACTTTTTTTACGGATTTTCTAAACAAGACTCCACAGGAGTGCCCAGTTTAGGCCACAAGATATAACAATAAATGAAACCACGCCAAGGAAAATAGTAATGTTACCTACATAATTTTAATATGTAATAAACATGTTTTTATCATATTTGATAAATTTTGCATTCACAATGGTAGGTACATTGATAAATATCTTTAATGAAATACTTATAAAATTAATTAATTCATCGGTGAACTTGGGGTGACTGGGACAGTTTATTTTTTTTTTATTTGGTGAAATAGTTTCTATAGTGAAATCATTATTTTTTCAAATATACTGTAAGGTAATAGCTTCATGCCTACCTCCTCTATGTATAGGAGTTTTCATTGAGCAATAAAAATGAAATTAAACATCTTGAGAATGGAAAGATAGTGTCGTTACATCTTTTGTGTGTCTAATCTACTTGAATAGTTGTCTAGTATCCAGTCACCGACGAGACACAATCGTAATACATCTTCCGTGACCGACACCGTCGGCATTCATTTTAAAATTGGTATACTTCCATGATGTAAGTATAAAAATCTCTAGTTTAAACAGATATTAATTGATTTCACCGTTTCAATACGATTCTTTCTTTAATAAATAATACATTAAATGTCACAGTTATTACAAGATATATGTATTTGTTTATATTACTTTTTAATTTACTGTTCAATTTTATAGTTATGAATGAAATAATAGACTATATTTAAATTACGTTGACCCCATATTGTTATGATGATAAGGGACGATAATGAATAAATAGCTAATAGGTTTTTGTACAATTCCAATCAATTAATTATGAACTTACTTTTACTTTTAATTGTGCAAATAAAGTCATTATTCTTTAATTGTTTTAATAGATAGCAATTTAACCTGAAGTAATTTATTTGTTTTTAATGTGTTCACTGATTGAATCAAAGTTATAATAATATTTTGTTTTGTTATTTTCATTCATATTGTAATGTAGAGGTGTTGTTGTAAGTACTGTTATGTAAACCGATGTATGCGGCTGTCTATATATGAAGTTTATGAGCGATTTTTCTCATTCTTTAACGAGACACTGTGGTTATCGGGCACATAACAACTCGTTTATTATTTAATAAAATTTCCTAATTTCACAAGATAAGGTTCTTACATTGAGATTTCAAGAATTAGTTTTATACAAATAAGCTTAGTTACATGTGTTCGAATGTTTTATGAAGTTGAAATAACGCCACTAGATAATTTTGTCATGTAAATTTCCGTAGGACATTTTCTTTCGTGAATAAAATTTATTTATTAAATATTATGTGTGATTGTATAGTACTTATAGATTCATTTAATGAAACTTTTTATAATTTTAAGAATGGCTGACCAAAAATTTCTATCATCTGAAGAGATCATCGCTTTGGAGGAAAAATATGGATGCAGGAATTATTCTCCTGTTCCAGTTGCGCTGTCGAGAGGCGAGGGTAAGAAATTAACCTTTATTTGTACTGACGTCAGTTTGTATGGAAAAATAAGAGTTATTTTAACTTATTGACTCTAGTTTTTTCTTTTATTTAAAATTTCATATTTTTATTTAAAATAAGCGAAGAAAGTAAAGAGATGAGTATCTTACTTAAGGGGCTTTTTCATTTTTTAATACCATAAAGAAAGAATGTAATTTAAAATGAGAAAACTACATATTATTTGTAATGTTCAATGGAAGAGACAAAACATGAATTTATAATTTTTTCTAGATAGAAAACAAAATTGGCACGTCAAAAATGTTCAATTTTTGTTTATGGGCTATTAATATCCGGGCGATCCGGGCGGGTTGCGAAAGGTCGTGGGTTCGATTCCCATCTCAGGGTGCCAGGGACCAAGTGGATTTTTTAAGCATTTTGTATTAAGAATAATTTTCAATATGGCATTGTGAATGCAAAATTAATCATAATATAATAATAAGGTTTTCTTTATTAAAGATTCCGGAAACTTTTAGTGCGTCCCACGTATTATAAACCGATTATAACGTCCATACACGGAAAGAGTTTTTTTGTGATTGGTTTTTGACATGGGAAGATGAAGTGGTAGTACTTACTACCATCAATACGACGTACAATAGGGATGATGACTGGGTAAAAAAATGCAATTCTATTTAGTCCGTCAGTCAGATAATAGAAAAATATTAGATACGTATTTTTTTTTTACTTCAATTTAACAAGAAATAGCTTAGATAACAGGCATTAAAGTTGAGGAGTGGGGGCTCGTTACGTCACAGTTGAGTAGAAAACGTACCCTAACGTGACGTCATGCGAAATTTCAACTCCATGTAACGCCGTAATTTCATGATTACGAAAAAAATACGTGTTTAATATTTTTTAACACTACCTGACGGACAAACAAACAAAAATTAGTCATCATCCCTATTAAACTAGAGACTATCATGGTAAGAAACATGACATGTCTACGTTTTTTTAGGTGTGTTTGTATGGGATGTGGAAGGAAAGAAATATTACGATTTCTTAAGCGCATACTCGGCCGTAAACCAAGGGCATTGTCACCCCCGTATAGTCGAAGCCCTTAAGAAACAGGCAGACCAGCTCACCCTCGTATCCAGGTAAGTGGAATCTACATAATAAACGGAGAGTTAGTGCGTGACAAAAATCTACAAAGGCTTCAAACTCCTGCACGCGTAGCATGACAAACTCGAGAAACGCTTTGTCTACACTCATTTGTCAGTTTCTCGGGTCGAGAGTGAGATATCGTATGGGCGCACCCGAGAAAAGTAACATTTGAGTGTAGACAAAACGTTCTCGAGTTCGTCATGCTACGCGTGCTGAACCCATTATAAAAATCATCTACGGGAAACTACACTATACGCAGATGACATAGGTTATAATTTACACTGGCTAGTTTTTAATATAATTATTAATTCTCATATACAAAATACTTCTGACAGGGCGTTCTACTCGGATCGATTGGGCAAATATGAGAAATTCATGACCTCCCTTTTGGGGTACGACCGTTTGCTACCAATGAACACTGGTGTGGAAGGTGGCGAAAGTGCCTGCAAGATCGCGCGGAAATGGGGTTACGACGTCAAGAAAATTCCTTATGGACAGGCAAAGGTATACACGCATTCTAATGTCCTAGCTAAAATAGTTATAATATATTTTATATATACGTTAATAAAACATATAATTCAAATGTGGAAGTCTTCTTTCTCATGTGTTTTCAACGTTATATAACCTTGGGTCCTACAAAAGTGTGGCAGGCCGGCAAGAGAGTGATATCTGCCGTAGCTTCGATTTCTGACAACTATAGTATTTTTAGACTGTTATAAGATAATAAAGTTGTTATGTAGGTACTTCGTATTCTACATAGGAGTCATGACGTACTTGATATGTTCTACGTAGGACGGCGTTTGGCGACGAGGATGGGATGATACTGTATAAAAAACCGGTCCCGTAATGCTTTCTCTACGTTAGTGAACTGACATTGAAAAGTAATCCCTCGCAACCTGACCGCCCATTCTGATGTAGTCTCTCCTAGGTTTTGTGTAGCAGCATAAAATTTGTGACGTTTGCTAAATCGGGATAACTTCAGAGTGAAATGTTCATCTAGAACTTTCAATCATTTCATGTCAGTCTTCAAATGGCATATTTTGAATATATGAGGTCAGTAAATGCAGTTTTTTCACATTAGGGAAACTATAACGTGGTCACTTTTTATTCATATTTTGGCGCTTATACAGAGTTAATGTTTCTAGATAATTTTCGCGGACGGCAACTTTTGGGGGCGAACACTTTCCGCGATATCCTCGTCTACGGATCCCTCCTGTTACCAGGGATTTGCACCTCACATGCCTGGCTTCAAGACCGTGCCCTATAACGACATACCTGCGCTAGAGGTATCTAGACGTATCATACATATTATTTTTATACAGTGGTGGACTGAGGGTGGGGGGTGGGGCAGCGTTGGAAATTCTCGGGCCTTTAGTCCTAGGGGCCTCCAAATAGCCGCAAATTCCCTTGATCAGACCATAAATTGGGGTTTGTATTGCTTTATCTTTCTTATGGGGGAAAGTTGCTGCACCAGTCGGAAAAAGTTATAAGTCGGGGCCTGATGCCGCCCCGGGTCCCCGACGGGGTTAGTCCGCCATTGTTTTTATGTTTATTACAAGCATCAATTTTAAAAAAAATCTGTACTACCAACATACAATAAATACTGTAAAAATAATGAAAATGGAATAACATCTATACTATTATAATAGGTATCATGGATCAATATTATTATTAGACGAAATATTTGGGGTTTGTTTGTTTGAATTGATAAGGCTCCGAAACTACTGGATCGATTTTAAAAATTCTTTCACCTACGGGCAGCTACAACATACTGAGTTGACATAGGCTATAATTTACGCGTGCGCAGTCGCGGGAAAAGAGCTATTATATAATAGAAATATGAAAAAATCTTTGAGATTTATCTGCAAGCGATTCCAATTCTAAAGTTTATGCGATAGAAGATCTCAGAAAGGAGTTTCTGGGATGCAGTTGAACTAGTTTATTTATTTATATCTTCATGCACCACCGCACAAAGGCGGAATTAATGCCTTAGGCATTATCAGTCGACCTTTAGGTGATGTGGAGATTTATTTCTCTTAAATTCATTATTACTTTTCAAGAAAGAGCTGCAAGATCCCACAGTAGCTGCCTTTATGGTGGAGCCCATACAGGGTGAGGCAGGTGTGGTCATACCAGACGTTGGATATCTGAGGAAAGTCCGTGAACTTTGTACCAAATACAATGTCCTGTGGATATCAGATGAAGTACAAACGGGGCTAGGTGAGTTAACGTTGGTTATTGATACGAGTATTTTATAAAATCAATATACGCCACAACGTAATAAATTAATGTACTAGTTATAGTACTAGTATAGATCCGTGATATTATACTATTCTTTTTATTTCCTTCGTTTTAAGTTAAAAATTATATTGATTTCTTTCACCTACGGTAGGCAACATCATAGAGAGTGGCAAAGGCTATAATTTACGTGGGTGAAGTCGCGGGAAAACAGCTTGTTCAAATATTTATTTTAGTAGAATAGATATAATTGGTGTATCTTAACGGTAGGTCGTACGGGCAAGTTACTGGCATCGCAGCATGAGGGAGTGAAACCAGACATTGTCATCTTGGGAAAAGCACTCAGCGGAGGTGTATTCCCTGTGTCAGCGGTGTTGGCTAATAATGAAGTTATGAATGTAAGTAGGGGGTATTATCGGCTAAAAAGGATTTTTAATTGGCAGATGTTTAAAGATATAGGTAGCGTTGTTCAAATTTGTACAAACTTCTCATTTTCTAACGTTAATACCTATTTCGACTTGGGGCGTGGTTAAGACACGGGTTCGAATCCTGCATAAGCAGATCTTGTTTTATCACATTTTGAAATTATATTCGAACCCCCACCCACTTCGAACCATATTTGTACTTATCTTTAATAATTTGTTACTTGTTTGTTTTATTCCAAGTAAAAGTATCCATATTTTCAAGTAAAATTTTATTGAAAAAATATTTGATTAATATTTTACTTATCTCTGAGCTTCCGGTTCGATTCTCGTCGGGTCAATGTAGATAATAAACTTTTTTGTATTATCCCGGGTTTGGGTGTTTTGGTAGGTACCTTCGTTGTTTCAGATATTGCATAACACGATGGCTTTAACTATGTAGATACCTACTTATCTTGGATTTGAGCAATGTGTGTTCTGTTACTTAATGGTTATTTATTTATATTTCAGGTAATCACGCCCGGTACTCACGGATCAACGTACGGTGGAAACCCATTGGCATGTGCTGTCGCAACAGAAGCCATTAATGTATTTATATTAATTTTATTATATGTATTTAACTTAGATTACGTATATAATTAGCAAAACCATTTCACTTTAAAAAGTAGTTTTTTGGGGTTGTCCAAAGAGTAAAGTATATAGGGTTGTCGCTTGATAAAAAATTATTTTTATTCAAGTAACAACCGCACCAAAATCCATTAGTGGTTTAAGAGATCCAAAAATTCGTAGTTATTAAATACTTTAGGTACTCTTTGCTTACAAGTGTCACAGCGCCTTTCATAATATTATCACTTATTTAGTATATTACTAAATAACATAATATAATAACGGGAATATCGATATAACATTCAAAATAGAAGTCAATCTCTAAATTTGTCAATAATTTTTCAGGTTTTATTAGACGAAAAACTATCGGAGAGAGCGGCGCAGTTAGAAGGCGTGCTACGCGAGGAGTTGGAGAAGATCCCGAAGGACAAAGTCACCGAAGTGCGGGGTAGGGGCCTCATGTTCGCAATGGTTGTCCATGACAGTACGTAATTGTGTTCTTCTATTTATTATTAAGCGAATTTTACATTTACTGTGCTAGCTTAATAATTATCTTAGAAATTAAAAGTACCCGTCTCGGTTTGACTTAACACACATCGGCTAATCTTTCGCTAATCGTAGTGCTCTTTTCACCAAGCAGCCGAGAGGAGTGCTTTTTTTTATCGCGACAGTGCTCTTTTCGCAAACAGATGGCTACCCTGTTTCCACTAAAACAATATTTTATCTTTTTTCGAGCTGCCAAGACTCGCATTTCTAGATAATTTATGCAAGGGATTACACTAAAACGATCGAATTTGAACTACTTAATTCCATATTTAACGTTATTTTATCTCATACCTTACTGGTTATTCTGGTATAAAGCAAAACGTAAATATTTACTGTCTGTTTAGTACTGTAAATATATATTTTTGCCCTTGATTTTTGCACATCACATCACAACGTAGGTATTTGTTTCCGAGCTAAAAATAAGATAAATGACGCGCGCTCTACGAATTAACAACAGCTGACGAAACTTCTCCGATTTATTAGATTATTTTTCACATATGATTACAGAATCATAACAGTTTATTAGGTAGGTACCCATCTAGGTTATCAAAGTTTTAATAATAAGTTAAATATCTGCGTGTGTTAAGATCAATTTATTTTATCACTAAGTTTACGTAAATAGAAATGTTACGTATTAAGTTTTCTTTAGACATACGATAAAGAGTGTTAATAGCACCGCACTTCGCACTACGCGGAAGGCGACAGATTAATTTATCTAGTAATTAATAGTAGAATAGATTTTATTCTTAACTAGTTTTCCGCAAGCCACTTCGCCCACGTGGTCCTGTATTTTACCTCTCTCTTTAATGTATATTGATGAAAATAAAATCCTATCCTAGTTAGGATAGCGGTCATATCTCTATGTGACAAGTTTGATTTAGTCTTTTTGTAGTTAACCTAGTGCTGCTGTAATATGTATAAATAGAAACACGTATTTTATATATTTTAATGTAAATCTAAATTTGTTTTTGTAGGCATTTCAGCATACGACGTAGTCCTTCGGCTCCGCGATGCAGGACTGTTAACGAAGACGACGCACGGTCAGGTGATCCGTCTCGCCCCACCACTAGTCATCACCGAGGACCAGTTGCGTGACGGAGCCAGCATCATCCGAAAGGTTTTCCAGAGCTTCAACAAATAAACCACCCTTCCGCGCGGCGGAGCTACCTCTTTCCCTTTAGCCAAAATGTAGTTCTGCAATCGCTTTCGACATAAGTAGAGCAACGTCGGAATATTGTGATTCCCATAACAATATTTAAAGCTAAACGTCAATTCCAAAGAGTGAACGAGACGAAATCAACGCGCCTGTCAGTGAGATAGGGACATAGGATTGCGTGTCGAAAACTATTCTTTTTTTACTAATTACCGCAAACCTTATAACAATAGTTTAAAAGTTCGCCAAAATCTCTCGGATACAATTGACTTATATAATTATTAGAAGAAAATGTGAAATTTGGGGGGAAATTTGTTTTTTTTTTTCATCGAGAAAATGTTATAAATTCAGATTTGATTGTGATAAAAAATATCCTATTAATATTATAAAGGCGAAAGTTTGTAAGTATGGATGTATGGATGTTTGTTACTCTTTCACGAAAAAACTACTGGACGGATTTGGATAAAACTTTACAGCAATATAGGTTATACATCAGAATAACACATAGGGTACTTTTTACTGGGAAAACTTCTCACTCCCACGGGATACCGACTTCCACGCGGACGAAGTCGCGGGCGTCCACTAGTTTTCAATATAATGTCGTTATTACAGCTCCTTTAGACATCATTTCAATATGTCAAACAATTACAATTGTGATTGTTGGTGTAAACAGCCTTAACATTAGGTTAGAAACCGAGTTGTCTAGGAAAACGGTTGTAGAAATAGATTATGGCTATAGGTTATTTGAGCGGGCCCTGTGCCAATGTGAAATGGGCCTAGGATTGCCAATATTTTTTTCAGAAGAGAAAAATATTCGTATTTTTCAGAAAAGAATATGCAAAACATATCTACCCACACGACAAAAATATTGAGAAAGGCTAACAGATTGCTTACGCATAAGTAATATAATACGATTGGCAACCCTATACGGGCTCTAAGAATTTATGAAATATTGTGTAGTGTATTCATATCTTGTATTTATGTATATTTTTAATGTATATAGTGCTGTACTAGTTGAATTCTTGTCTGTGTGTTTTAGGGATACAGTTACACTGTTGGCTTGCATTTAATCATTTTTGTTTAATTATATACATACTATTATAATTATTATATTATATTATAATGTCTGTAACCAAAATTTTATTTGAAAAATCAGATACTAATATTTTTCAATTAATTTAATTTTATGAAGTATTTATCAGACAATTTAATTTTCTAAAAAATATTTTCTCTAAATATGTTACAATAAAATTGCAAGCATCGTCAGTTTATAATCTAACGTGACAGATTATAAACTGACGGCGTTTACAACTTTACGGTAACACATACGTTACTATGTACATCCCTAATTATTTTATTTTAAAAATCTAACAGATTCTAGAGAGAATAGCTATTTCATTTTGATTATTCATACAGTATTTCGTCAGTTACATTCCAGTATGAATTTATTTATAATATAGTTTTGAATGATTGATGGACTTAAATAAAACATTTATATATTTATAATTTCGTTTTATTTATTAGATTTTCTTAACAAGCATTTTCACAACACTCTCATGATCACAGTTAGTTGAGGTAAATATTGTACTTTTTAAGTAGGAATATTTAAGCAGGAAATTCTGCAGTCAAGTTCAAAAATATGCTTGGCTTAAGTATACATATGATGTACCTTATTTAGTTTGTAATAAAAGTGGTTAAAGGTTATATAATTAGGAAGAATTATATGCGAGAATATAAATGAACTAGCAGTTGAAATATTAGTGAAGTAGGATTACGTTTAGTTTGATGTTTTCCGTTTTCTGTAAAGCATAAAATAAAATTAGAAATATCCACAAACGGTTTTGAACTTTAACAATACATTGTTTAAAACCAATTTTTGAAGAAGAGATAAATGTGAGTGTTGATAACCATTCTGTAAAATTCATCGGCGAATGCAGCGTTGCTGCTGTCACAGCATTCAGAGATCCAATCAAATAAAAACTTTATTACTTTTGCCTTTTCAAGTAATATTTGATTAATCTATTATGATGCGACAGTGCTATGTTCAACGCTGCTTTAGGCGGTGTATTTTTTAACAGAATGGCACTACTGATAGGCGTTGCAATAGGTACAAAATCTAAAATCTTCCTGCATATTTTCAAATCTGACTGAAAATTACAAATTAAGGCATCATTATCACAAATGGATTTGTTCTTCGCTGGCACTTTCCCATAACTCATAAACTATTATTTAAAACGACAACGTTAACTCTTAAACTTAAATGCACGGATGGAACATAATAATACTTATTGAATTTTCTTTATCCTAAGGTAAATTTCTAGGTGGGTGTACTTATTGCTCCTCTTCTAGGACTCCTAGTTGTGCCCTCATTGTTTCTGTTAACTTCGCTAAAAGAATAGACTCGTCTAAACTCATCTTTGGACTTTCTAATAAACCTGAAAATTAAAAAAGTTTCATTTAAAAACAAATACTAAACAGTACAGTAACTTCTAACTAATGAGGCGCATGGTGAATGTGCGTTTCCGCTCGGCACACGTTTCAATTCAGAGGATGACAGCACGTGCGATTACAATTAATAGTTAATCTTGTTTCAATAACCATAACGTGTAAAACACAACGCATTAGGTGCACTCTCATTCAGCGGGATTCAGGTGCGTAGATATAAGTGGATCGCCCGATGTCGTGATATTTGAATCGTTCTGATTGGCCGACATTTCCTGCGTTTCAAAATTTGGCCTTGTGTGCAGGTACATTAGTGCGCAATATTTGTTGCATCTTACTGTATCTACTTAGTGAATTAGTATGGATTATTCCAAAAAAAATCCCAAGATATGTCCCTGTGCCTCGGTCACTCTTACTTACCAGAGCCGCTTATGAGAACGACAACTGTCCCTATTACTAAGAATAAAACTGGTGACGCTTTAGATATTGCAAAGTGTCGACCGATCTCGCTCGCTACTATCACGGGTAAGGTGCTTGACAGTGTGTTGAATGGCAGCCTGTCGGTGTATATAATACATGATGCTCAGCTCGGGTTTAAAGAGGGAGTATCAACGGAAAGTGCCTTAAACATATTCTAGTACACATGAAGAAAAAAAGTTGTAAAGTATTTCTTGATCTGTCAAAAGCGTATATAGCAAATATTGGTATTCTCACCAGATAAACCGAGTGAGATGAGTCGGAATTTTGTCTGAGGAATACCAATTAGAATGTGGTGAACATTCAGACAAGGGGAGCTAAGCTCGCCGCTGTTATTTAATTTGTATATAAACCAGCTTGTCTAGCTTTGGAGCAGCACACATGTTGGATGTCACATTGAAGGTAAATGCATGAATAATATAAGCTATGCCGATGACATGGTGCTGCTTAGCCTGTCGATAAGAGGGTTCAAGCAGTTGTTACAAATCTGCGAGATGTATGCTATGGAACACGGTCTTAAATACAACTCAAAAAGGGGTGAAATCGTGGTTTTTAAGGCGCCTAAAAAACGGTCTCGTATTATTCCACCAGTGTATATCGACGGCGTAGTGCTGAAACTGATCTAAGGGATTATAATGACATAGAACGCGAGCGCAGGGCGTTGGTGGTGAGTGGCAATATTGCTCGCCCGCTGTAAGACAGACGTAAAAATAAGTTTATTTAAAGCGTTCTGTTAGTCTTTCTATTCGAGTGGCCTGTGGGTGTCATACACGCGTCGAGCCTACGATGTCCGGAGAGCATAGTACAACAACGCTTTCAGGATGCTGTTGCGGTTGACGCGGCGTTGTAATGCTTCGAAAATGTCCTTCGCGTTCTTGATTGGTTCACTAGCATACGGTGGTGCTAGTGTAACCAATCAAGAGTACGAAACGGCAAAATTACAATCTCGATCGGTCGCGGTTACATTCGAGAGTAAGGGGACTGAACTCTGGAGGCCAAGTCTCCCTGCACTGCTTAGTTTATCTTCACCCAAATATAAGCTTTCTCTGGTGCAGTATACGACATCTCATTCTCGACCAGAGAAAGTGACATTTCGGTGTAGTTTTTCCAGATTTTCATGTTACGCGTCTTGGAAAATGTCATTAGACACGCCCATGGTTTTGCGCCAATAATAATCAATCAGGATTTCGGTTACGTTGTAAAGGAGCGAAATGCGGGTGAAGTGGTAATAAATGAAAAACGAAAATGTTTTGTGACTCATCGAAACAACACTTTTAAACATAACATCCAAAGCTTTAATGATAAATGATTTAAATGCTTCTAAGAATTGAATAACAATTGTTATTATTTCTCACGTGTGCTTGATTATACCCATGCTACGATCCAACATAATTTTATGTTCCTTTACTTTTTATAAGACTTGTTTTAATAAGAATAAATGGCATTACAGTACGACCAGTGTTAGTTGTTATTTTTTTAAAGTTATGACATTGTTTAGCTAAATAAATGGAAAAGACAAATCAGAAAGCCTACTCTATTCCTCCAAAAATAATTTCATCTATTTTCGAAACCCTATTATGAATTTAAATAAGGCATTTTCGTAATTAATAATTTATGATGCAATAGAGGTAGGACCTGATGCTGCCTTTGATGCACAGATAATCGTAATTGAAATGATTTTAATAAAATTATAAGAAATTTCCTTTGTGGCGAAACAGCTAGCTAGGCAATCAGGTTTTATTTACCTACCTTGACTAATACTATCGAAGCACTCCTGTATTTCATAGCTTAAGCCGGCACTATTGTGGAAGTGAAACTTAAACTTTCCCTTGGGCAGCGTCCACTCGGTGCTGTTTGCTGCCGATATGTGTAACACAGTAGGACACCAAAAATAATCTAGCTGAAAAGGGGAAATATATATTTTTTATCAAACCATTATGGTCACATCACCTGGAGCCGCAGAAGGTGCATGGGATGAAGGGAATTGTGAGAATTCTAGTGTCACCTGTCAAAATCCAATTATAGGATTCTAAAATTTCACGCCTCTTTTGGAGCAAAACATTCGCTAGTCTTACTTGTTGACAAATAAGAGTCTATACAGTTAACAATCTTTTTTAATTACGTTTTTAAATTAGTAAACGTATCTTCAAATTCATCCAAACCGATTTACTTTAAATCTGCATTTTAAGTCTTATTTATTTGTATCAATATACAAAGAAAGAAATCAGAAAATTGAAGAATATAAATCACGAAAATACTTACTACTACGATGCCTTTGGTTCCGATGATTTCGGCCTTGTTCGTCATAGCAGCTCTCGTGTGCGCCGAGAGTGTTGCCGTTTTGCCCTCCTTGTATTTGAGCGAGCAAGATGCAGACTCATCCACACCCGCTTTACTTATGTGGCCAGTGCACACCACGTCCAAAGGTGGTTGTTTATAAACGAACTGTGCTAGCTGCAGCATGTATATTCCCAAGTCTAAAACGGCTCCGCCACCCAAGTCCTTCATCCTGAAACCGTATTATACCCCCTCTCACATCTTCGCAAGATAAAGTTTAATTTACGTATATTATTCTCAAAAGCATTAGGGTGTTTAGAAGATTGAAAATTAATATGGACCTGACAAACGCAAAGAGTTAACAAAGTTTGTTAAATGCAAATAAATATCTTACAGGTTCCTCTCAATTTCGTTAATTTCGACCCCGAACTGAATGTTGATGTGATATATGTCCCCAAGCCCGCCAGAAGATATGTGCTTATCCAAAGCGTCGTAAGCAGGAAAGAACCTCGACCACATCCCCTCGAGAAGGAACAATTTCTTTTCGCGAGCTAAATCCACAAGGGACTTAACCTGTTTGTAAGTCATGCCCAGCGGCTTCTCACACAACACATGTTTGCCATTTTCTAACATTAACTTAGTTACTTCATAGTGTTGCAAATTCAAAACACTGACGAAAACAATGTCTGGAAACAAGAAATTTATCTATGAACTTATTAAATTAAAAGATGAAAAATTCCTGAGCTATCTAACATATTTACTAATAATATTAGGAAGGCAAACCTACATATAATTTTCTCATATCTTTCCTAACATAATAAATAAATGTTCATTAATACAAGAAAGAAGGCAATGTGAGACAGACGATTCATATAAAGTTATGAAATCAACTACAAGTTTAAAGCCTAAAGTGCCAGAAATTGAATTTGTAGTGCCTAAGGTGCGTTTTATGTACAGCATATGATGAAAGGCATAGAAATGAACCATAACCAGTATCGAAAAAGTATATAATGCACAATTTACACAGGAAAAAATTAAAGCCAGTGCACACAATTTTAAATTATGTTCGTTACGGTGAATCGGTGATAAAAAATAAATAAGATACCCATATACACGTTGTTACTTATGATATACCGTAAACGGAGGTCGATGACAATTTTGTCAATAAATCCAATTTGTTTACTACTATTTAAATTAATAAAAAAATGTACACTGCTATCAATTTTTTCTTTTGGTGGTGGTTGGTGATGTTTGATGGTGATTGGTGTATCATAATAACGTACCGACATCATTATCGTGCGCCAACGCATCGTAGCTTTCATGAGAGGTGGTGATGTGGTGAAGCGTCGCTAATCTGCTAACGCGGTCGATGTCTTTGCCAGCGATTGCCACAGCCTTATGTCTGTCGTCAGGTAACGTCGCCATGGCGGTGAGGAAATCGTGAGCTATCATGCCCACGCCTGCGAGCCCCCATCTAAGCTGCGTACACATCTGCTAACAAGCCATGTACTGGTACAAAAACTAATGACCATTTAGAGAAATCAGTGGTCAAGAACAATATGCTTTTAATACTTAACACTATATTTCCTTAAATAAAGGATTTCATTGTCTTAGTTTTGTACTCATATTAACAATTATTAAATGTCTCAAATGTAATCTTATCGACATATAAAATACACAATGATTAATTGATATAAGATTGGCACAAAACTGTCTTGTTCTTTAAGACGTCCTTTTTTCATGAACAATAACCATTGATTTGTTTTAAGTTTTAAAGTAAGCCAAAGCTGTTTCCTGTACAACATGCTAGTTATTTAAAAATAAATCACTGTATGTTATCTTCAGAACGTTTGATTTCTAATGATAAGCAATAAAGGCATTAAACATATTATGATGCTTTTTATTTTAAAAAGGCATTGATTTAAAGCAGCCGTAGTATGCATTTAATTATAGCGAGTTAAAAATAATAAAAATAAATCATGAAGTTTGGAGGAAAAACTTAGTGGATATTGACTTCCAACTTTTTTAATTTAAAGTACTATATGACGTTGAGAAAATATTTGCACTTTTATGTTGTGATATGTTTAATGTGTTATCTAAACATTTGTTATGTTCGCTTATCTGTTTGATGGCAGTGAATGATGATCGTGATAATATAAACAATAAGATTAATGTCAGAAATGTAAATCATTGTTGTTTTGTTAAGCAAATATAGTTAACACAAGAAAATTATTTTATGATCAGATTAATGTATTGCACATAGAGAATGAAAGTGACTTATGTAATTCAAAATTAAATGAGAATTAACAAATTTTAGACCAGTATTTCTCAAAATGAGCTGTGCTCATTTAGAGCTGTAAGGAAATGCAAATATTTCGACAAATGATTGAAGTTAAAGTAAAATATGAGTGACAGTATATCTATTTATATTAGATATACTGTCACTTATATTTTACTTTAACTTCAATCATTGTTTGCATTTAATAGGAGTCTTTCATATTGCTTTGAATATAGTCATATGTAGAAAACATCGAAACTCTATTATGATGACCTTACGGAAAGAGCGCAAATCATGTGATTTTTTTTATACAGATAATTAGATAAATTCTTATAATTTCAATGGTATATTATTTTGGATTGGTATAAAAATTAAATTTGGAGATAAAATAAATTAGCCTACAAAATTCACTCTCTATTTCCACACAAAAGAATAACATAAAAACTTACAATTTCAGCCAGTTATAAATTATTAAGTAATTAAGGTATACTAACCTGATCGCGTTTACGGTCGGTATATGGACGAGTTGGTTGCAAACTGAGCAAATTATTGAGGTGCACTTGATAAACCAATGTAATTTGACGCCATACCTATCGTTTACACTTCATTTAAGTAAAACTACACCGGTCACGAACAAAATGTTGATGATAAATAAAGACTGGAATAATAGTTTTTATCATATAAGATAAACGAATAAAATGTCGAGCTCTACAAAGTTATCTTGTCTTTTACGCATGTAGATGGTTTGTCCTCGCGTCAATTACCTAACGAATAAACTTAGGAGTATATTAGCTAAGTGATAATTGAACTGAGTCCATGGCAGACATATTACAGATATTTATAAGTGCACATAATCGTTTTGCCTTTAAAATATCTCAGTATGTTTCCATTGAGTTTAATGGGTTAATTATAAATTGTTACTATTAGAAGTAGAATGTTTGTCTTCGTTGCGCATTTACTACTGTAATTAAAATTGATGAGTTTAGATTACAATAAAACGGGCCTCAGATATACGATTTTTTCTAACCGGGGCAGAAACTTGATATTGTTCACATCTACAATCGACCAGATTTTATACAGACACATTTTATTCTTATATGTATTTTATTTAGGGGCATTAAAACGTCCATCCTATATAGAAATAATAAGATTGCCTGCATACAGCTGGACCAGCTGATTGTACTGAGCATAACAGACCTCCTTCAAGTCTGATTGTATAGAGCATATATAAACCTTCTTCAAGTTTAGTTTATGCTCTTTTTGAAACAGTTATGGATGAAGCTATAAAAAAGGTATATAGCAAAGGCAAACGATTAGTGATTGGTGGTGATTTTAACGTTGATTTATTAAGAAACTCCAATTAAGGTACAAGTTTGTAAATCTATTTATGTCCTATAATCTTGCACATTTGTTTAAGGAACTCACTAGAATAACTGTCACTTCATCCACTTGTATTGACAACATTTTTACAGATCTGATACCACTTTCAAAACAGATAATTAAACAACTACCATCAGATCATTTTGCACAATTAGTTAGCTGTCCACATAAATGCATGTTTGTGGCTAGGAGAGACATCACAGTTGTGTCAAAAAGTATGAGTCTCTTGGAATATTTCAAAAATCAATTAGATTGTAAATTTTAAATATAAAAGTTATCCCAATGATTTGTACAAAGATTTCTTTCTTATTTAGTGTACAGAATTGAATATTATATTTGTCCCAAAAAAATAGTATTAGTAATCCTATAACTTTTATTGTGTGGGCTATACCAGGAATCTACATAAACAGAAAAAGGCTCTATGAATTATATGAGGAACGTAATTATAACACAAGTGTGGATTTCAAAGAATATTCACGAACATTCTCTAAATTATTTAAAAAAGTGTGTTGTTTAGTCAAATGTAATTATTTAAATGCAAAAATTAAAAATAGTAAAGTTATCTTTATTGTCAGCTTTAAATAAGGGTTTTTAAAGGATTTTATTCATTATCCTTTTTGCAGTTTTAAAGATCTTTATATTCAGATTCATAACCATTCGTAATTTAGGTACCTAAGAGCCTTTTTTAAGTAAGTATTTTATGAATGCTACAACAAAGCAAAAATTTCAAGGCATTCTAAAAGCCACCTTAATCGAAATATTTAAAAGTTGACAACACTAAATTCCTTTGTAACCAATCGCATTCACGAATAAACAGATTTTAGCAAAGAGTACAAAAATAAAATCACAATTTTTTTCACCTACAAATAAATAAGCAGCTTCTACTGTAATTCAAATTTCTATAATTTTGTAAGTTTTGAATACTATATAAAATGCAGTAACACTTAAAATCAAATGAGAATTGAAATTTTTCTATGATCTTTAAGTTTATTTATATTTTAATAATACTCATAATTAAAATGCTATATTATTGACTATTTTTAAAAATAAGATTTTTTTCTATAAATAGCAAATTTTTTTACATCCAATATTTATTTGGGAGTTATTTGTAAAATTTTAAATTGATTCCGTCATTTGTGAATCAATTGAAAAGTATGGCTCTAAGAAGAAATTCAAAATTTAGTGATACAAAAATTTTGAAATAGAGGCTAAATAAATGCAAACTTTAATGAATATTTTTAAATGATTTAATGATGTTTGCCATGGCAAAGTTGTGAATTATATCTCTATATTTTACCATCATTAATGCTACATTAGAATTATGTCAAACAATAGATATTTTATACTGTTTTTCTGCTTGGCTACACCACTTTTCTGCTCGGCTATACTGCAGGGCAAAAGCGAATTCAGCAGAGTTAAAGTTAAAACTGATAAAGAATATTATGAAAACTCTAGAATCTGTTTTCTTTCTAAGGTCAGGCATAGTCAGGCATTCAGATACTACCAAAGTTTTTTGGTTCTGTATTCATGCAAATTCGCAGTCTGACTTTTTAAGTCTGATTGATTTTTTAAATTGTCTTGTTCTAGTTACTATACTGCTTATCCTTATGATAAATAATAAAGATTTATAAAACAATTAATCCTCCCTGATATTCTTTATCATATAATCATTTATGAAGTAACATTATGTACCTACCCTGAATATTAACATTTCTGGTTATTCTGTAAAACCAAAGGGATACAGCAATTTTTTTAAAATCATTAGTTGTTAATAATAAATGTCTTGTTTCTTTTATAAATTGTAAGTGTAAGTATTAAAAATCCAATACTCACCAACTGACCTTCAGGCATGATTCCAGTGTTGCAGCGACAGATTACAATTACAACGGCATAATTAAAACCCGTATAATTGTTAAACAAAAAAAAAACAACCAAACACAATTAATGTTAAACCAAAGTTTTGATTTAACGCCAGAATAAATGGGATAAGACTGTTTTAAATAAATGTAGTTTTTGGTGACATTAACTTAGAAGTATTTTTACAGTCAACGAAACAATGTTTTATATCTATTTAGTGGTTGCTTATTTCTATAATTGACATATTAGTGAATTTTCTCTTTCAGAATTACAATCGAACATGTGCAATCTATGAATCTATGAGTGCATCAAACTATGAACAAATGAACAAAGTCTCGTGATATCAATCAAAATAAAAAATTTGTTTTTGAAAAAGCTTTAATCTATGGAAAATAAGGAAAAGCCATATTTGACACAAGTCATCATACTAGGGATGTATGTAACGAACCTTATCGGAAACAGATTATCAATTAATATAAAGAAAGAAAGAAAAATTTTCCCCTCAAACATAATAAATAAAATAAGAGCCAAAATAGTACTAGTAGCACGGTGGCGTAGTCGATAAGCGCTGGGGCCCGCGATCGTAGTCGTTAAGCAACTTTCGCAAGGGTTGGTCACGGGATGGGTGACCAAAATATTATTATCTCGAGCTACTTCGTGCTTCGGAAGCCACGTTAAGCCGTTGGTCCCGGTTGCATTTGCAGTCTATAATACCCTCCAATCCGCATTGGACCAGCGTGGAGGGTCATGGCCCATCCTCCTTAACCATCCATAAGGTAGGCCTGAGCCCCTGTAGTGGGGATGTAAAAAGGCTGATGATGATGATAATGATGATAAGAGCCAAAATAGAGAAAATGTTCAAACTTTCATGAATACCGATACGTCCAGTCATAGAGAAATGATTTTGGTTGCTATGTTATTGTTTTGTTTATTATCTTTGTTTTAAAATTTTCTCTGTCATTAAGGATTATATTATTTTTATTAATAAAATACTTTATACGTTTACTCCACAATCCTTTATTTGCTACATTGTATATTTCCACAAAAACAACAGGTTATGGGCCCAGGCCCTATGTAGTTTTTCAGGAAAGTGGAGTGAATAAAACGTTAGAATCATGCAGAAAGAGTCAGTCATAACAAAACTAAAAGGCCATTCCAACTATGGAACATGGTCATTCGCTATGCAAATGATCCTAGTGGAACATGATTTATGGAATTGCGTAGAGGAAGAAAATATTGTTTTGACAGCAGACAATCAGAAGCGTGATGCTAAAGCACGGGCCAAAATATGCCTGAGCGTTGAGGAGAAAATTTACCCACTAATTGCTGAAGCAAAAAATGCTAAAGAAACTTGGTTAGCATTAAAGAGAGCATATGCGGATGCAGGTTTGGTGCGTCGATTAACATTACTTAGAAAATTGTTCAGCGTGAAACTAGAGAGCTACCCTAGTATGGAAGCGTACGTTACAGATATCCAAGCGACACATCAAGCACTCGTAACGATTAAAGCTGGTTTGGATGATGAATTTCTAAGTATAATAATGTTAGCTGGTTTGACAGATTCGTATAATCCGCTAGTGATGGCTTTGGAACATTCAGGAACAAAAATTTCGTCTGAGACCGTAATCGCCGCAATACTTAAAGAAGGGCAGCGACAAAGTCAACCAACGTATAGTGGGATGAATGAAAACAAGGACGAATCGGTACTAGTGTCGAGTTCTAATGACAAAAAGAAAATACAAAAACCTATAATTTGTTATTATTGTAAAAAGAAAGGGCATTATAAGTCTCAATGTAAAAAATTGAAAAATAATATTGATGTTCAGCCGAAATCTTGTCTTGCAAATGACAACTCTGAGGAGTTTGTAACCTTTTTAACTAGTAATTATGAAAGTAATGATAGATGGGTTATAGATTCTGGTGCTACGTCCCACATGACATCAAATGAACACATTTTGAAACCAGAAAAATCTTGTGCAAAATTTATTACCTGTGCAAATAAAGACAAAATTGTTTCAAACAAACAAGGAACTGTTGATTTGAAGATTAATCACGAGGGACGTACCACAGATGTGAAAATGAGTAATGTATTGCTTATTCCTGAGTTATTAACTAATTTGATTTCAGTAAGCAAGATTGCTGAAAGTGGTAAGGTTATTATTTTTGATAAAAAGTGTTGTAAAGTTTTTAATGATACTGTTAATGTTATAGGTAAACCTCTTTTTACAGCACCACGCAAAAACGGGTTATATGTATTAGGTCCGGATAATAACAAGTTTCCGACAGTTCTTTTAGGTGATAGCAGTCGTAGTCAGGATGACTATGAGTTGTGGCACAGGAGGTTAGGTCATTTATCTTATCCTCAGATGAACAAACTAAAAGGTATGATTAAGGATATTAATTTTGGGAAGGTTGATAACAAAGTTCATTGTGTGGCCTGCAGCCAGGGAAAGCAGTGTGCAAAGAAATTTCCACATCGAAAGAAATGTAAGCGAGCAAACGATTTGCTTGAACTAGTACATAGTGATGTTGCCGGTCCAATTGAAACAGAGTCATGGGGAGGTGCAAAATATTTTCTGATCTTTGTTGACGACTACAGTAGAAAAGTTTTCTGTTATATGTTGACATCGAAGAAAGAAGTATTCAAATGTTTTCGTGATTTTAAAGCTTTTGTGGAAAATCAAACTTCAAAGAAAATTAAAAAATTTAGATCTGATAATGGTACAGAGTATACCAATAAGGAATTTCAATCTTTTTTAAAGAAATATGGAATTCAGCATCAGACATCTGTTCCACATACTCCAGCTCAAAACGGAGTAGCTGAGAGGACTATTAGGACGATCACAGAGAAAGCACGTTGTATGCTTCATGACAGTGGTCTAAATAAAAAGTTCTGGGGTGAAGCTGTCAACACAGCCGTTTATTTGAAAAATCGATCCCCAACAATGGCTTTAAAAGACAAGGTTCCTGAAGAGGTGTGGTTAGGTCAACAAGTAGATTTATCGTATCTGAAAGTTTTTGGATCTATTGCACAAGTCCTAGTGAAGGATGGCAGTAGAAAGAAGTTTGATGCCAAGACTCGCGAATTAATTTTTACGGGATACAGTGAAGCACAGAAAGCCTACAGATTTATTGATTTAAATAATCCAAAAAGGATTATCATCGGTCGAGATGCAGTCTTTAATGAAAAGTTACAAAATCCCTCGGTCAGTGATCTCAAACCTGAGGAAGTTATCAAGCAGCCTACATCTGATAAATGTACAAAAGAAGTTTCTCAAGCCGAGAAAGAAGTTGCCCAAGGAGGACTTTATTGGGATTATCGTGAAGAGGACAGAGTGTCTTCTGCTACCAACGTCTGTGATGATGAAGTCGGAGAGGTAATAAGATCAGAAACAGAAAGTCAAGGCGTAAGTAATATACGGTCAGATACTTTTGAAGCTCAAGACGAAATGAGTAGTCAACAAGATTCTGAAATAGAAGAAACTAGTGAAGTTTCGCCAAATAGAAGATATCCCTTACGAATACGTACTCCAAAGAGATATGATGATATGGAATACAATTTTCTAGTCTCAACTAATGGAGATCCTGTTTCTGTAAAGGATGCAATGAAGCGCTCAGATAAGACGCTGTGGAGGAAAGCAATGGAAGAAGAATATAATTCCCTTATAGAGAATGGCACTTGGAATTTAGTTGACCGTCCTTGTGGGACTAATGTGGTTAAATGTAAGTGGTTATTTAAACTCAAAATAGGAGCGGATGGTGTAGTTCAGCGACATAAGGCGAGATTAGTTGCCAAGGGTTATTCCCAAAAATGGGGAGAAGATTATTTCGAAACCTTTGCACCAGTAGTCAAGCTTTCGTCAATCAGGATGTTGTTTGCTTTATCTGTTGAGAAAGACCTCAAGGTACATCATATTGATGTTACTACAGCCTTCTTAAATGGTGACCTCGAGGAAGATCTTTACATGGAGCAACCAGAAACCTTTGTAAAGAAGGGAAATGAGCAAAAGGTATGTAAGCTCAAGAAAGCCATATATGGATTGAAACAAGCAGCTCGATGCTGGAATGTCAAAGTAGATGCTCACATTGTTAAGTTCGGCTTCAAGAGGTCAAATTATGATTCTTGTGTATATATTAAAAGAAGTAAGAATAATTTTACAGCTATTGCTCTGTACGTAGACGATTTTTATATTTTTGGCAGTTCACAACAAGTTGTTGATCAAGTTAAGGATCACATAAGATTAGGTTTCAAGATTAAGGATTTGGGTGAGGCTAAAGAATGTCTGGGTATGCAAATCACGAAATCAGAAAACTTGAAAGAAATTCATTTGAATCAGACTAATTTTGCTAAAAAGATATTAGAACGATTTGGTATGGAAGATTGCAAACCTGTTGCGACACCATTGGCAATGAATTTGAAGTTAGAAAAGGGTGACATAAATCATGATCCCAGCTATCAAGAAATCATTGGGTCCTTGATGTATCTTGCTTTGGGTACAAGACCAGATATTGCTTTTGTTGTAAGTTATCTCAGTCAATTCAACAACTTCTGGAACACAACTCATATGTCAGCATTAAAACGTGTTTTACGGTACGTCAAAGGCACAATGAATAATGTTTTAATATATAAGAAAACTGGAAAACCGTTATGTGCTTTTTGTGATGCAGATTGGGGTAAAAATGAAGATGGTCATTCGTTTACGGGATATATGCTTGTTTTAGGTGGCGCTGTAATAGCATGGCAGGCACGTAAACAGCGATGCGTTGCATTAAGCTCAGCAGAAGCTGAGTATATCGCTGCTTGCGAGGCTGCTAAACATATTATATCTGTGAAAGGTTTATATGAAGAATTAACTGGTGTTAAAGTGTCAGTAGAATTGTTTAGTGATAGTCAAAGTGCTGCAAAATTGATTTATTCTAATGCTGTAGGTAGAAGATCGAAACACATTAACATCAAATACCATTTTGTGAGAGAACTAGCGGAATCTAAAGAGATTTTCATCACTTATTTGGAAACTAATTCCATGCCAGCTGATGCTCTCACAAAAGGTCTGCCAAGACCAAAGTTTGAGTACTGTTTAAGACGTATGGGTATTCAGGGGGCGTGTTAAAAATAAAGGTTGAATACCGATACGTCCAGTCATAGAGAAATGATTTTGGTTGCTATGTTATTGTTTTGTTTATTATTATTTTTTTTAAATTTTCTCTGTCATTAAGGATTATATTATTTTTATTAATAAAATACTTTATACGTTTACTCCACAATCCTTTATTTGCTACATTGTTTATTTCCACAAAAACAACATGGTTCTACTTGTTACTCGTTTAGAGATAAATAAATTTAATTTGCTGTCGCTAACAAGAAACTATCTATAAATATCTGTGAGTGGCGTGACTAAAAATCTATTTAAATAAAATAAAGAGAAAAAATATCTGAAGGTTGTCGACAATGAGAAAGTATTATATTATAAGAAAAAAAAGAAAGCACTAAAAAGCACCTCACTAGATGGCGACTCTACCAAATGTTGATTTTTGCAGGAAACGAATGGAATAAAGATAGTAATTTTCGTTCCTTTTCACTAACATAAAAAAAGTGAAACTTGCAAACTTCGAAACTAAGATATCATTACAAATAAGAAAAAGAACAAATAGAATGTGAGTTGTTTATTGAGTTATGAAAATTAATTTACTTTTATACATAAAAGAATACCGGAAATGTTGTCATGGTGAAATCAAGGAAGTACCATGGCGGAATCTAGTTTGATTTCGGGAACTAATGTTTTTTTTAAATACTTCCTCGTTGGAAATTTCAACTTAAGCAGTCACATTTAGTTAGTTTTTGCTTCAATGTAACAATTTGATCAGTTACAACTGCTCGTTACATAATTTATTGAAAAAGTTTTGAATCGTAAAGAGATAGCCGTTTTCTTTCCTGTTTTCTTTAATATCAAAATCTATATAGAAATATTGATCAGTGATGGTGACACACGGCTATGGACGTCGTCTTTCAACTCTTTCCTTTGACATTTGTCAAGAGCTTGTAAAGATATTTGCGTGTATCACTTACTTAATTAATTAGTTCCAATTACAGTCAAATTAACGATGTCGTTCATTCAACATCTTACAAAAAACGTTGCGATGACAATCGCTTTCACATGTTAAATATTTGTAGCGTGAACTTAGTCTTAAAATATCTGATTAGGAAGTACATATTAAAAAAACTGCGCCACTGCGCTTATCCGCTTAAATCAAATTTGATTTCAACTGATTGAAATAAAAAAAAAAAAATTAAAAAAACAGTTTTATTTTTCAGTTTCAGTCCTAAATTAATTAATAAAGTTTTACATTTCCTTAACACATATATTTTCGCTAATATCTACTAACTATTTATCATTAAAAATTCGTCAATATTATAATAGCATTTGTCAATGAGGTATGTTTTAAATGTTCAGTAAATGGTTTTAGGTGTTTTATTTGCTTTATTAGGAAAATTTCTTTAAAGGGTGAAGCAGGTGTTAACTCATTTTTTTCAGTCAGTTTTCAATTGAAAACTGACTTCCATACAAACTTTCAACCCTTATTTCACTTCTTTGAGGGTTGATTTTCCAATAATCCTCTCTTAGTAAGTATACATTAAACAAAATAACTACTGACCAAAGATCATGGGTCCAATTTTAAAAGTTTATATTTGGTGGTGAGGAATAGAAAATTAATATTGATTACAATCTTATTTAAAATATTTCATTTTTAATTCAATATTAATAGTTACATTATTGATATAGTTCTTTATTTATTAAACTTAATTTCTTAAAACAATATATTTTTGATGACCTCTGATCGGTATTTATCGAGCAAATGAGATTTATTCCTAAAATGCCTGTATTTCTTTCCTTAACGGCCCGACGGGCGACAATACTTCGCCCATCTCTATTGGGGTAATATTGAATAATGAGGAAGTATTAAAAAAAAACGAAAGCACAAAAAAAGCTCCTCCACTAGATGGCGACTTTAGCAAAAGTAGATTTTTGCAGGAAACGAATGGACCAAAGCCAGTCATTTCCGTTTCTTTTAACTAACATATGAAAAAATTAAAATTTGAAAGTTCGAAACTTAGATACCAATACAAATACGAAAAAATACAAATAGAATATGAGTTGTTTATTGAGTTTTGAAAACTAATTTACTTTTAAACATTTAAAAAACCGGAAGGGTTGTCATTGAGAAATCAAGAACGTACCGTAACGACATCTAGTTTGATTTCGGGAACTAATGTTTTTTTTTAAATAAGTATTTAAAAATGCATGAGCATGCCTCATTACATGAAGGAAACTGTTAACTAATAATAATAATCTATATTAAGATTGCTGTAGTTTTTCAAGTTAAATGAGGAAAAATTAAAGAAAAATTCTTTATATACAATAATAGATAAAGATTAATTTATGATCTGTTCGTATCGAGATCAATCTACTGATAAAAATCGTTTCAAATAATCAAAGAAAGAGGTCAATAAGGTCGTTTCTCGATTAAATCCAATAGAGATCGGTATATTCGGAATCCCTAGAGATTTGTTTGTCACTGTCATTGTCATCGAGTTAAACTTTTGTTTTTAGTATAAATTGATGATAAATAATGTAAACTAACATTGAAAGTGCTGCTTATTTAAGATTATAAACATGGCGTTAGCTTTAAGAAGAACATATTTAAAAGTCAGAGACCATTTAGTGTTATCAAAAACGAAAATACCACCTCGTAACTACGCGTTGTCCTTGGATTTTCGTGCCTACAGCGAGGAAAAAAATAATAACCCTGATTTTAGCAATAGTACGATTTTGGTTGAGAATGGATTTAATGTGCAAGAGCTTCCAGTCGTAATACGAAAATTGAAGGACCTATCAGATGTCGACGAAGTCACTGCAAATAAAACTTCCTCTACGACTTCTTCCAACTACGGCTTAATACAAGCTGAATTCAGAGAATGTGTCGATTTGAGAGATGTCTTTTCTTTGCTATCAAAATGTACTAAAATAACACCTCATATTGCATTAGGTGCCATGGAAAGGATTTACGATATAGAAAAAGGTCCCAATACCCTGATTGATGTTAATGGTAATCACATTAATATGGCAAAAGGTGCTATTTTGGACAAGCTCTTAAAAGTTGTAGCGAAGACTGAAGATACACAGACTATTTTATATGTACTAAAGTCCATATCTTCATTCATGGAGCCTTTTAAATATAAGTTTTGTGATGAATTATTATTTAGAACAATAGATAATAAGATGACTATTGAACAAATTTGTATGTTTACTAATTTTCTTATTGAAAATAAGTCTAATCCAAAATATGCCGACACTATTGACAAATTATGGGTAGGTTTTGTTTCTAAGGAATGTGATATCAATGAATATAACATTGCTACTATATTTAGTTTATTACCAGGATTGAAAGTAAGTAAAAGAATTGTTTTAACACTATTGGAACAGAAGTTATCTGATTTGTGGTATAAAATTAAAGTGCCAGTTATGAAACAGATTTTAAATAGTTTTGTTGATGAGAAGTATTTATCATTTCAGTCATTTGCCATTATTGGGAGGTGGCTTCATACTAATATCCATGTGCTAGACGATGACTCTTTATTAGACATAGTATCAAAAATAACTAGGCTTAAATACACAGATGATCAAATAGAAAAGGCACTTGAGAAATATATGAAATTAAAAGGTGACAAAATTGAGTCACATGTTCTCATTGTTGGTATATTGAATCATTGTATGCAGTTTCAGATACGTAACAAACATATCTTGAAATCTTGTAGTGAATATTTTCAAAATAACATTCATAATATTCCACCCAGTTTTATGAAGTCACACATATATCCTTATGGTTTCTTATATTTTACACCAGACAATGGTAAATTCTGGGATTCAATTGAAGTAGCTTTGCTAAATAATTTTTTGAAAATAAATGTTGATGACCTGTCTCTGATAATGTTGTCATATATTTACGTGGGAAAATATCCCTTGAGACTTGCCAGTAAGGTTTTCAGTCCATTGTATTTAGTCAAAGTAAACAACAATAATAATCCTGAGGCTTTCAGAAATTTAACTTTGTTAGACACTGCATTGTCACTGGAGTGTCCAAACGATTATGCTGGGCCTTTCATACCAAAAGATCAGTGGCCAAAACCAGTGGGCCAAGATGACAGGATAAAAAACATTGTGACCAAAGTTTATACTAGTCTTGAGGATGTAGCTGGAGGTGCTGATAAATTATCAAGAGATGTAATGGTACCTAATTTCTCTCATAAAACTTACTTAATTGATGTAATGTTTCATCCTCGTGGGCTTGATGTTAAAACACTCAATTGGAAAACAATGTCTTCTAGAAATGTGAATGTAGCAATGCTTGTACATTTGCCTGACCATTATTGTTCAGATAATACACAGTTAATAGGACCACAAGTCATGAAGAAAAAGCATTTGAGACTGTTAGGATTTAAAGTTGTAAGTGTGAAATATTCAATTATTAGTAAATTTTATACATCTTTTAATATGAAAGGTTTGAGGCAGTACCTTATTGATAATATTAAAAGTGCTGAAGAGTGTCTTTAACATAGATAGGAGCTATATTTTTATATGACTTTATCATTAATATGTAATCAAATTATGTTAGTAAGTAATGAAATGTAATAATTGTACAGGTTGTATTGTTATGTTTACAAATACTAATGTTTATGACACATTAAGGAACTAGGATTTTATAAATAAAAGAAAGTGTTAATTTTCATCATTAATTTATTTTATTATACTCATAACATCTTTTTCTCTTAGATTTACTCACTGGCTAATTCACTAGATTTATTATTTTGAATATTTTAATAATTTCTTAAACAACTTTTACTTTCGAAATATTTTTCTATTAAAAACTCGTTCCAGAATAAAAGATTTATGAAAAAAGGGTAATCAACACCACTTCGCGTCGAGTGCGTCACGGGCTGTTAGCCTGTTAATATTGATTAAGTACCCATAGGTATTTTGGTAGATAAAGTTTTTGATACTATAATAAGACTGTAAATTACAGACAACATTTTCATAATTTTATATAATGATAGGTTATAATACGAGGCGTAAAACTTTTTTTTATTAAGTTAATATCTCATAGGATGTTTCAAAAGCTAATTTATTTACGTGGACAAAGATGCATCTAAACGTCAATGAAATCACAGATAGAATAATGGCTTCAAACGTTAATCGACGTAGTTTTCATTGATTAATGATTACACATAGCCAGGATTGACTACATAATATTATAGCCATAATTGTGTATCACAGTAACTCTAGCCTGAATTATATAAATCGTAAAGAATGTGTTATGCTGACTCACAGCCTATAATCTAATTGTAAAAACATCAATTAAGTTTACTCGTGCCAAAAGTTACGAACAATCGTCGTCATCAACGTGTTACGGAAAACTGAATTAGGTACAGTATGCCTCATATTTTACGGGAAATTTAATATAACCATGTAGAGCTACAAAATAATCTATGAATTATAAGCTCTGTTAGCAGAAACAGCATTGTTATCCTCAGTAAGTACCTATAGCTTAAATTTTGTAATATGATACGTATTACATCTTCGTCAGCGGTTCCCAAGCAATCTATTAAGAAAAATATACTTCCTATCTATAAGCGAGAGAAGTAATTACTTGAGAAGATGTTATATCATAGTTCAAGTAAATATATTTATCAAATAAGAGTTGTTAATAGTAAGATTATTATTATTATTAGCTATTTAAAGGTCATATTTCATTCCCATTCTCGTCTATTAGTTAAAAATTATTTGCTTAAATTATTTCATTTTCTCAAATAATTACTTTTCGACTATAGATAGGAGTGTTAGAATTATGCAAAGATTGATATTTGTCTTGAATATAATACAGATAATGATACTTAAATAAATGATAGCATTTTACCAAATTCGCTACTGAATGATTGACTGATAAGACATTGCTAAAATATTTATAGGTTGATACATTGACGGCACAAAACACTTGATTGTACTGGGGGCCAATTCAGCTAAAATAGAACTGGAATGGTATCGTTATAGAATAGGAAAACCATTAAAAAACGTAGTTTCGTTTTTCGATTCGATTTAATCAAAATTTATTTAGTAGAATTGGCCCCCTGGTCTCACATACTTGCAGAAAGTTTTGTGACTTTATTAACTTTTTAACTATTTGGAATGAATATTTATACGATGATCTACGGTCGGTTTCTGAATTGAGAAAATAAAAAAAATCTCAACTGATTATTCTCATTAATTTGTTTACGTTTCACGTGGCACAAAACCCTAGTTTCTTAAAACTGCTATCAACTGTTCATTTAAAAAAATAAAATCGCAAACGAAACCTGTTTAAGTGACGTTTAAGATGATTTAAGTACGGTTGGAAACGTGCTTATATCTTTAAATTCTCTATTCGGAAACCGGGTGTATGTATATTACCTATAAGTTAATCGATAACTTTGATGACGACAGTTATTACATTTTTGGGTATAAGGCTCTATTTTATAAAATACACTGATTAGGTGTAACTAATGTTGCCGTAAACGTTCTTACAAAAAACTGCATCTTGAAATAAGAAAAAAATATATAAATTGAACTATCATTTGATTAAATAATATATCCTGTTAGTTAGGATAAGCAGCTGCAATTGCTTGCCAAACAGCCTTCAGCGTGCGCACTTCACCAATTGCTGCCTTTTGCAGCATCAAAACGCTAGACTGCATGAATAGCTATTAATGTATGTTGTGCAACCCTGACTTGATTTTCTTCGTACAAAACGCGAAAGCGGCCTAATAAGTCTTATGAAGGTTCAGTGTCTAACAAAGTCGTGCACGATTTACAAATTAGAACCTTACACCCATAATTTTATGGACTCCGAATAAGACTTAACATACGAATGATTTCACGAACGAATTTATATCTATCTGAAACAGGTAACTATGTACTTATGTGCATTTGTTTGATTTACAACTATGTTACTTTATTAGTTATCGTGACTTTCTCTAACACACAATGTAAGTTCGAACGCTATAGTTACACACAATATCTATAGCTCATTGAGATATATTTTTAAGATTAAAATTAGTATTGCCACGGCATCATTACACAATCTAAATAGATTTACAATGAGCTTTGGCACATTTTCAAAATGTTATCCTGCTAATTACGGCTTGGAAGTTGCACTACAGGCTAACAACAACTTGACAAAAGAACATAACGTTATTATAAGTAATTAAAATAATTTCGATGTGCTAGGGACAATTTGTCAAAAAAACAAAAAATATATTAAGTTATCGCTCACAGGGTATTCATAGTGTAAACCAAATACTTATGCATAAGTATGTTGTTAGACTGTAGGTGAGTAAGATAAGATCAGCAAATTACATTTCAATTTTTTTATAATAATATTTGTGAAATACAGAATAATATACATATTTCTCGTTTTACCTAAATTCCCGGTTGATCTACGGGCCTTTATGGATAAATTATGTAAGTGAATATACCTGTACCCATTCACAAATATTTATTTTTAATATCCAATACTACTAATAGACTTTTTAGAGTAAGTTTCGATCTAGTTTAGAATATTTGTAAATATTATTCATTCGAGTTGTATATATAATTAATTTAAAATAAATTTATTCGTCTTTTACCTATTAATAGGCATAAATATGTAGTTTATAAAATGTCTATGTGAAAAGGAAGATATGTGTCCACTATTTCAATAATATATCACTGAGTGACAAAAGAACATTTATAAACATAAGACAGCCATTTTCATGTTAAATAAAATTATTTTTATACTTAATTTCATTAAGTGATAATATTTTTTTGTTATTCTTTAGACAACATAATAATATTATTTAGACACCATTTGTTCTGAAGATGAAGATTAACTGGTAGTTTCGAGTCTATGAAATTCACTAATAACTATTTATTATCTAAAACCACAACTAACTATTCACTTTTTAAACTAGGTAGTTTTGTGAAAGCAGACCATAGAGATTTGTTTTGAATGATTTATAATTGTAATTTATTTGTCGCTTTTAGTTCGAAAGGCGTATAAACTTCATTGACAAAGTTTCGTAAGTGTATTTAATTTACTAAAAGAATGAAAAACTCTGCTATTAATAAAAAAAAATCGAGATATCATTTTAGTCAAAATGAAAAATTCTATGGTCTATGACTACCTAACATCATTAGTGGTATCATGCACTAGATTTCTGTTATAGCGATTTATTTATATATCTACCTAAATATTGTGATCTAATCATCAGTTTAATTTCAAATAATGAATGAAATTAATTTCGCTTATGAACTAAGATTTATTACAACACCGATTTCTATTTGGCAGTTAACTAACAATGTTTTTAGAAATACAATATTCAAAAGATTTTGTTATCGGCAGTAAATCAGCGCAGTTATTTCAAAATTGTTCTCACTTTGCCAAAGCTGCCCTAAGATTTCACCGTTTGTAGTGTACCGTGGTGCATGACATCGAAATAAAAAATTGACAAGTTCATGTACTATCGTGCGTTCCACGATTGTAATACTTATAAATACTATTAATTTAGTTTTGATACTTATATATTACTATACTACATTGCCTTTGGTGTCATATATTATTGAAGTAAATTATCTCTTGGAGTGAATGTAGAAAGTGTTTCAGTATTAGATATATTCAGATATATCTGAACTGTTTCATAGTTTATTCTACTCTACAGACGTATTTTTAAATACCATAAAGTAGAACACTGTAGGTATGACGTAAACGATATATCGAAAAGTATGCTAGAGATCTTTAGTGTTCGAAAGTCTCTGTTGCCGATTTCAGATAACGATCACAGATAAAACTTAATTAACTCATATCCAGTTTAGATATACCACATATGCGTGGTCCGATTGAAAAATAATATTTGATGCCCCTTCCACTGTCACTACCAGGTGTTTTAAATTTGCCGTGCTGGGCAATTGTCTAGCTTTCTCTCCCCACCTACATCAGGCACGGCATAGGTATATGTATTCAAATTAAATAGTCAATATGACATGAATACACTTAAGTTAGAGTTTTAATAGTAACTTTAACATGGCGAAACATGCATATGTAATATAGATCAAGTACTTTTAATTCACTCAATTAACATGTGATATTTGATTTGACAAGACTGTAACCGTTCAGCCGAAGGTTAGTTTATCTTGTATTTTATTATATAAAAAATGGTGTATGGCGCAGTGATGGTGTTTCAATATTATCATTATTCGACATGTTTCCCCCTTTTTCAAGATACCATATCACGCTTTTAGGGACTTACGTATGATATACAGTGGTATTGTACAGTTAATTATATTGAAATACCATTATTACGTTCACATTAGCATATATGAGGTCCAGCTGTGTTATTTTGCTTAAAAACAGCCCCGAACTGTACGTCAAGCCCAACATAGACAGCATAGAGCTTGAATAAAACCTTTATTATCTTTTGAAATAGATTTTTATGACAGTTTGTGGTTGTTTTTATACAGAATAGCACTTCATTTGTCCTGTATCTTTTGTTACACAACATTCATAAAGTTAGTACGATATAATCTACTTACGCGAGTGTGCGTCACAAGTTTATATTTATTATTTATAAGTGTAAATGAACAGGAAAACTTTAAAAAGGCTAATGAGTAATGGAATGCGTATTTTATATAAATACTTTCAAATTAAGATAATTTGTTCGATTTCATATTGCTTTTTGTTGACTCAATAATGATATTGAGATCTATATCTATATGATAGATTTAATTGTAACTAATTTTTGGTTCTCGTAGAATCTCACTTTCTTAATGTTTGTGACCGACATATTTAAAGGGTTTAGTTTTATCAAAAAAAAACTACTCATCGTAAAACCTTGAGAATTATAACGTACGAGCGGTTCCAATTATGCATTTAGATGAATGCAAATGCATTAGTTTCTAATAAAATCATTACAATTTCAAGGCAACTGTAGTCAAATATGACTAGATTTAATGATTGCTTTACGTTTTTAGGTATCACGAAATATATTAAAATCGGTCAGAAAAATGAATAGCAATTAAATCTTCAGTCCCACGGCAAGTTTTAAGTTGAGCAGATGTAAAAATCTTAAAACAGAATAATTATTTACAAAATACATTTTTTTATATAGATAAAAATTTCCATGCTTTAAATTTTAGTCAATGTATATGCTTACAAAGTATCTACGATTCTTTAAAACATCGATAGAAAAAAGAAGTTATTAACAAAAAACCAAATATAAAAAACCCTCTTCGAGAGAGGGACTACAACCAAAATTTAACGATATGGCATCAATCGAGAGACCACTTGGATAATATTATCTAAATTATCTATTCTAAATTAACGAAACGAACTTATAACTAACCGACAGTTAAGGCTCTTTGTTAGATTCACACACACTTATCCATATATATACCTATACAACAGTGAATAAATTCCAAAACAACATCACTCTAAACAGCAAATTCAACAAAACATTAGAACTAAGCTAACATTTACGAGTCAAACGAATGTCCAATATATTTTAAGAAAGTATATCATCAGTTTGTGAATTTAATCAGAACATAACGTTCGTCTCGGCAGTCTTTCGAGAGCGATTATGATACTAATATTAGAAGAACGATTAACGAGATGCGAACTCGACAAGTCAAAGTAGAGCACTAAACGGTAAATGATCACAAGTGAGCAGAGCGTTCACGAATATATGGTGATCACCTCGCGCCCGCCGCCGCGCACCATCAGCACCTTCTCCAGGCCCTCTGTCAGCACCTCTAGGAACTCCATGTCTGAAAACATACCGTTATTTTTTTAGACTTGAGAAACATAACCTAGTAGATTTATAATTTAGATTTCTGCCACGTGCAAATAAGAATCCAATTGACAAGTGTTCCAAGGTGGCATCTGATGCGCTTGTCTGAAACGTGTCTAAGCGATAACGATATGGTAAAAAGCGACGGAGATATTGAGAGTGTCACACTGTGCCCCACCTTACCCTATATATTTATTTGTATATTGAGTAGGGCGAAATAATATGAAAAGATTTTAGGACGTCTAAAACTAAAATGACGAGGAAAAGCAAAATCATAATATTATCATGATACATACAGTCAAAATACTTTAAGTATGTTAAGACTCTCTATTAATTGTTATCTGTTTGTGAACGATTCATAAATAAATGAAAATACATAAAATTAATCACAAAAATATTAAGATGAAACTTATTATCTATTCATTTAATCTTTTATAACATATAGTATCGGTATGGTGTTGTTATTGGTCATATTCTATATAGAAGATATTTAATTATTATTTTATATATTTAACACGATTAAAAATATAAAATAAAGTGAAAATATTATTTGTCTCCCCGTATTACCAGCATCTACTGTCTATATACATTTAATACATTTCAACTTTTCAAGTGCTTCAAATAGGCTCGTGTCCTACAAGTGAAAATACAGGTTTCTGTTATATTACATTTATTTACCTTTTGGGTACGGAACCCCTTATAAAATGTCTTATGGTAGTCATAGAAGAGAAATATACTTAAAAGTAGTAAACAATACAAATTCAACTTACAGTTGGATTCCCTTTCGAATTTGGTATCTCGTGGCGGGCCTGGCAGGTTCAGTATGACCAGTTGTGCGTCATGGGACCGCGTCACTATCACCTCATTCAGCTTCACTGCGGTGTGCATCCGTCTCACTGTGCCTTCATCACTGAATAAACGTTTATAAAGATAAGTTTTTGAAAATCGAATCGTGTATAATCCCCGCAAATTGCTAAATGCGCCCGGCCGCCATTTTGATTTAATTTCGTTCAAAAATCAGTACCGTTAACAAATAAACACTGATTGACGAGTATACTTATTAAATTGGGTTATTTTGAGATCACAAATAATTTTTGTTGTTTTAGGTGATTTTGATTGTTAATAAGTTTTGTTGTTACTTGATATGGTTGACTAAAATAGCAGCTGCTATTATGATTTTCACAATAAGTAAACATAATATCAATAATAATAAATATATCTAATGTCTCTCATTTCAGTATTACTTTTGGTTATGTTTAAAAAAATGTCCTTTCCGTTTGTTATTGCTTTATTACATTTATTTTTACATTTTTTTTTACATTTATTTTTTTTCCATATAACTCAATATTTACATATTAATTAATTATTTTATAAAAATATTAATTGACAAACAAAGTTTTTAAATTGTTATCACAATATTTTGGGGATTATTCATAAATATTTCAATAATTAATAAATAATGCATCTCTTGCCTTTTTTGCTATCTATACTTTCTATTTGAATATGACGTCACACGATTGACATTTGAAAAAGAAGAATTAATATTTATTGATCTTATAATTATAAATAAGAACGTACCTACATTCAAGGAACACAATAGTAAGATATACAGAGGACGAAAAACAATTGGATAATACATGTTCACATAAAAAAGGACTCTAGTTCAGCTGGTGTTGGCGTGACAGCGAATTAGCAATTTACGGGACTTATACCCCCAAGGGCACCGCACAGAGGCACGTTCGCAAAATTCGTCACCCTAGGCCATGTAGTATTAGCTGCCCAATTTTTGCTCTCATTATTGAAGTGAAGAATAGAGTTGACTACCATAACAGGAGTTTTTCAAGTAAAAAGAAGTAAAGACCCAATCATTCGGCTTTTGTTTTATATACAAGCAACTTTGTTTTATACTATGAGTAGATATTTATAGTTTTATTGGAATTTATTAGAATGGTACTTACGGTGTTATATCCGTCATGTTGGGCTTGGGTTTGAGCGCATCACCGTTGGGGTTGTTTTCTTTGGACTTGTCGGCGTCAGGTGGCGGCGAGGTAGCTCCCTCACACTGCGATGCATCGGGCGAGTCCCACATTGAATCGATTATGTGCAACAGGCTACTTCGGAAGTCGTCCTACGTCATCGCAATCAAGTCCCGTTCCATGTTTCCAATAATCGTGTACCGATAGTTGCACATGATCGATTCAAGACGAATAAAACACGGGATGTCATATACTGTATCAATTGAACAGTCACTCAACTACGGACATTCAAACATCCAATATCTTAGCTAGTGGTAGGTACGGACTAAAGTGAACAAATCAATGTGAATGAACTCGTTGCAAACATATGACCACCGTGTAGATTCGCTAGGACTCATTCGTGATATAAAGATAATGTTGAATAAAGAAATAGAAATAATATCTTTAGTAATAATAATGGTTAGCGGTGCATTTAGTGAGATTGACAGCGAATCGTTCTTAAAGAGGTTCGAATGAGAAATTTATGATAATATGAAATGTTGATTTAATTGATACCAAAATAAGATCGATCCGCTTGTAATCAGAATTCAAGAAGCTTATGATTATCTAATGAGAACATAACATTTCCATTTGAAAGTAACATAAAATGTAAAACAAAGGATGGTTTGAAAGCAACCTATTTATATTTACACGATCATAAATTAATTTACGAGCAGAGACATGGATGTTTTAATCTCGTTAGAAACAATAATCGTAGCTCCCATAGTAACACAATTAAGGCATGGCTTTGTAGAACCTTGAAAATATATTCGAAAGAATTCTTTTAGTATTTTATGGTTTCAAACTATTTGTAATTATTTTAAATATTACATAAATGCTAATCTGGTGTTGAGATATTTATTTTGAATTATTTTCGCATCAAACTATCAAGGTCAAATACAGTTCTTTATTTGTAAATTTCTAATATTTCATTGTGATATGAAGATATAATTTACAATTCGTACTTTCGGATATTAATTTACAACTGAAAAGAACTGAATTCAAAAATATTACTTAGATATCTAGCCTTTTTAGGAAAGACGTGTGTAATATGTTTTAGAATTAATCTTTCAAATCGACATAGTGATCTTAAGTATGATATTAAGCATCCAATAAAATCGTAGTTTTATTCGCTTAATGTAAATATGTTAATTAAAAATACTTCTTTAAATTACCTGCCATGTTTCGTCACGAGTGATTAATGTATTTGGATCTCTTTGATTAAATTTTCTTCAGAGAGAATAGCTTTTTTAGTAATAGAAAGCGAAATACGTAATAATTGATTTTAATAACAAAGCAAATCTTAATTACCATGTGTATGTATAAATTGCGAAACAGATTACACACGTTGGAAACACAAAACAAACCACCAAAACACATGTCTAGACCACGCAACAGATAAAAAAAGTGGGTATTTTCTATTAGAATAGTAGACATGACAAAAAAACAATATTAGATTAGGTACTCAATGTGTTGCACGACATCTCTAAGACCAAGCACCAGAACTTTGATTCTAGTTCTCATTTTTTCTTTTTTCAATTGTATGTTTCCAAATCACCAAAATAAATAATATATCTACTCTTAAATTAAAGATATTGTTTGTGTGCAAAAGCATGTCACATTTATACCGTCATTTGCTGTTATAAATTTGTCGCCAAGAGACTGTGGCCTCGGATCATGACACTAAAATCTGCCTTGTCTTTTCCTACTTGACTTGCTGGTGGCTTGGTATTACGCCTATGTACTTTTATAAATTCTTTTTAACTATTCCATGGTTTAGATCATTTTTTATGTCTGAAATAAGATTAGTTTCAGTATGATTCGGTGTTCACCTTGTCATCTTTGTCCTTCTCCTCGTTATCGGTGAGAGGCGGGGAAGGAGCATCCTCTCCTTCTGCTGTACCGGGTTCTGCAAAGCGAACCTTGCTCGCCGTCTTAACATCCGCATGGTGGTGATCAACGATTGCTTGTACCTGTAGTAATACACATGTAAACTGCTTCTTCTTGTGATGTTCCATGTTTGAAACAAATTTCAGAGTAATCTAAAACATTGATAGCGGCTTACAGATGATAATTTAAAGGAAGAATGTACAATTAAAATATATATAAGGCAGGGCGAAAAATATTTAAGAAATAAAGATAAATATAAACGTTCAAATATCGATTAGGTTTCAGTAATGAACTATATAAATACTCATTGTGTTACATTTGATTGGTTCACGTCCCAACCACTGGATCTAACTCCATAAGCCACAGATTATCTTAACTGACCACAATACCATATTAAGAATGGTGACGGAAGAAATTGTCAAGAAAAAGCATTGGGAACTAGGTTTAGAAGTAGGTATTTTATTTATTTGAATTAGTTCGAAATGATAAAATTAATAAAATAAAATTTTAAACAAGTTTTTTTGCGAGAGTAAACAGTTTGGTGACGCGATAGTGGTCTTCATGTGGCAGTCGAGAACCAATTAAAAGTACTTAAATCTTGAAAACAGTTATAAAAAGAGTGCACATTCAACAATAAGTGATTTGAGATCGCATGAATATACAGAATATTACACTAATGATGATGATCATGATAATATTAAGGCTTTCGGATTAAATAAATTCGATGTTGTTGGAATGCTTACAATGTGACAGACAAAAAAACATTGAAAGCAAATAGCCTTTAGTGCTTTCAGTGACAGATAAGTGTGGCGTAACATGATTATATAGTATTCTAAACAAGTAAAGATAGCAGACGACATCTATCTAGGGCTGTAATTATGTCAAACAATTGGATTGAGGAGTTAATTGTATGGTATTAATTCACTAGTGACAATTTAGGTTAGCCGTCTTTGGCCCTGTAAATTGCTACTAGTTTTTTGTATATAATACATTTATTAGTTGAATTACAGTCCTAATACTATTTAAAAAAACATTGAGACTATTATTAATCAAGCTAAGAATGAAACAGTCCATTTCTGAAATTATATAATAGAAAATGCGGATAGAAAGAATAAAAGTAGCTAGTGGTGGACTTGATTGAGGGTAAAGTAGCTAGTTTACCAGAGGCAACTTCTCCTCAGCGTTTTCACGATAGTCCACGAAATTTTGCATCTGTGGTCGCAGTGACAGACAGACAGACAGACAAATATTTGTTAGTAAAGTACTTAAGCTATTCACAGACACAATATTGTAAAGCAATATTGTGAGTGCATGCAGTGATCTTGTTGCAACAATCTGTAGTAACAGTAATTAAAATATGTGTAGATGTGGGTAACTGTTAAGGATATGTGAGATGATGTTTCTTCTAACATCAAATAGATATACATTAAATATATCTAAAATAATATATAAAGAATATAAATGATTTTTTATGTTAAAATCTAAAATAAATTTAATTATCCTAATTCCCCGCGAAAATGCCATCTTCTGTCATGGCGTTGCTATGACGTCTGGCCTCTATAAAACTAATATCGTTCTCTGTATGCATAAGGTTCAATTCTCTAAGTTCTGATATGAGTAAAAGGAGCTTGACGTCACACGTTGTTTGCGGTCACGTGACAACGAATATAAGTAATAGTTTTATAACAATTAACTTAAGCAATATTATAAATATAATAAGCATAAAAGTGTGGTTATCGATAAAAGTTATTAAATATTACCAGAAAAAGTTAATTATGTATTTATTTTAATAAAATATGTACTCGTACTAAAATTATCTACTAAGTGCACAACAAATTGTTGATGTATATTTTATTAACTCATGATACATTATCCTTTCTTTAGTAGTTCTGTTAAGGTAAGTAATTTAAATAGAGAAAAAAAAAACAAGTATAGAATATTATCTCTATTTTAAAATACTGAAGTTCCTCTTTAAATTATTCCTTATTTCTTTATAGAAGGAAATAATTAACTTCGAAATAAGCTAAGCTAATCCGGAAGCAGATCACAGATTTGCCAGACCTACAAATATGTTCCATATTAGGGATACTATTTCATATTTGGTTACTTTTCTCTATAGATAATCCAAAAGACTTGAGCTCCTTGATTCCCTGTAGGTTGCCGATTAAAGCTTTATTACACTACCCAATTACTAGGGTCCCTTACCCTTACTAAGAGTAGCGTAATGGATAAGGAAGTAAGCTAGAGTCCCAGCTAGGGTCATCGGTGCATTCCGATCTCCCTTACTCCCTGGCGATTGAGTAGTGTAATAGCTGTTAGGGACTAAGGAAGCTTCTTGACTACAGAATTTGTTATTTAAATGAATTTTAGCATGAGACGAAACAGTAGCGAATGTGTAATGCTATGGATTAGTAGCAAGTCGCGTTTTTTTAACATTGCCTAAAAATGTATTATTAATTAGTATAAAGAGATTATTGTTATCACATAATTTTTTGATCATTACTGTCTTGGAATTATTCTGATGAGATCACAGAATTTATAAATGAATAATTTTAAACTCACCATGCCGAAGGTTTCCTTCTTATTCAGTCGCAGTTCTCGCAGCATTTGGTTCCGTTGTTCCATCATCAATGTGCGTTCGTACGTATAAGCTGATATATCGCTGTCAGTCTGTTTTAAAAAGTTTTTGTTCAAACCCATGAATGGTAAAATTAATATAATTATTGATTTCAAGACAAAGCTCATAGTGATGTAGATATAAATAATTAATTTACTTTAATTTTTTAAAAAGGATTACTTTGAAATCTATAATATAAAGTAATTGTAAGATATGTACGTACAGTCAGCACATCAAGTTGTACTAAGTCATTATTGTACAGCTGTGTGTTAAATTTCTCCACTCGATTTTATACCTTAATACCTATATTGAGTGTAGGAATATTCGCAGAATTTCTGAAATCGTGGTAGCCTGACGTGCTTTTGTATGTACATTAAAGTTATTCACAAAAGTTACAAACCATTTCAACGACTTCCACTTCAGCTTCCAACCTCAGTTGATAGAGGAACATCTTGAGATCTTTTTTCATCTGAATAGAGTTGTCTTCCATTTGCGCAACCGTAAAGATGCGCATCTTGCAGTTTTTCCAGGTGCGATGCTGCTTCAGCAAAAATGGCAACAGCATTAGCATGCCACCATCGTGCACTATCCACCAAATGTCAATATTGCCTGACACCTGAACATAAATTATAATTCATTAAGTAATTTTATTGTTAACATGTGTATGATTTAGGAAATTTAGGGTTGCTTTAGGGTTTTTTTTTAATTTAATTAGTAAGTCATACATCTGTAGCGGTTGCTATATAGTAAAACATTATGAAAATCGGTATTCATGGAAGGCAAATTGCGTTGACTTCGTAAATTTTAGCAAAATAATGAAAGTAGAAGACAGAGCCGACGGATATATTCTTTAGCAATCTATTCGAGGGTAGCTAGACTTTAATAAAATAAGAATAATATTTTACTTACTTTCTCAGTCGAGTCCGGGAAGAAGTTGATCCCTTTGGGCACAAGCATGGCCATCCGTGCAGCAGTAACAGCACGTACGGTGTGCAGGAACGAGTGCCATTTAGGAAGGCTGTCGTGCTGGTACTCTTCAGAACGTCGCCAACCGTATGGCCAGCCTACTATCACTGTATTTGGCTTCAATCCACCCAAACCAGTTGTTTGGACACTGAATAAAAAAGTACGATGTTAATAATATATTTTTTTATTTTCACACTCAGGACATCGATAGCTCACTGGTTAGCGTTTTCGGCCTGCTGTGAGGAGATTGGAGAGGTTGACCAACGTTCGCAAGACCTGGGGCTGCTGTCTGGATAGATTGCAATCGCAATTTTCGCAAGTGGCGCAAACCCCTGGTCACCTATCCCATCACCGGCATGGGTGACAAAAGAAATATTATCTCGTGATCTTCGATGTTTTGGAAGACACATTAAGCCGTTGGTCCCTACTACATTTGCCATCATTAACACCTACAAATACGCACTGGGCTGCGTCTTGGGATATGGACGATTCTCTTTCTTCTATTCTGTCCATAGGGCTAGTAATGTTGATATTAAACGTTTAAGGCTGATATTGATAGTACTCACAAATGGCTTAGTCCATCAGCAATACTGGGTGACACCAGAACATCTACAAAGCCTTTGACTTTCTCGTCATCCATGGTCTTGCGCAGGTTTTGCTTGGCAGTAGACGCCTCGCCAGCTCGCCTAGTGAAGTCTCCTCCCAGTACCGACACGCATACAGTTAATCCTTTCCCTGTAAGAAATTATTTGAATGTCATAAGTGTATAATCAAAAATATTATATAATCTCATATATTCTATTAAAGAAATATATTACAGCTCTTCAATATTGAAATTTAGCTCAGGAACTCGTTACTGAATTTCTTTACCTGCTTTCAGTTGACTTGCGAAGGCTATCATCTTCTTGTAAGTAGGCACCAGGTCATCGTTCAACTTTGCAAGGACTAACACTTGTGGTCTCCAGTTCTTAGTGTGTGGTGGGCCTTGTTCCAGTCTTAGGAGTGAGTAGCGCGCCGCTGATAACGCTAGACCTCTTAGACCATCACCCCATTCTTTCTCAGCTCTGTGTGAATATGAAATATTATTAATTTTAATATTCACCAAATTTACAAATAATACATTTTAAAATTGTGTTAGTTCATTATAATTTACAGTGACTACTTTGTATTAATGAAATAATGATGAACGAAACTAATATATTAACTTACCCACGGTATTCTATATACTTGTAGATCAATCCGGCCATGCCCATGGCGATGAGGGCATAAAACCATGACGTCATGAACATGATCGAGATACACAGTGTTAAACCCATCAGCGACAAAGACCTGAAAATCAAGTTTTAAATGTAGTCAATTTTCTAAGAATACAAATGAAGGTCAATTTTAATCTTAATTAGCTACGCCTAACTTGAATTATATAATTAAGAACACAGGACCACAAAAAGAGGAAAGTCAGTTCCTAAAGTTTTTATGTATGTATAAATAGTGAATATTTCTGTTATCTCACCAGTGGTAATATTTGAAGCGAGGCCGCCAGTTGGGTGTTTTGAGTAATGTTTGCAGCGCACACGCAAGGTTCACGAATCCGTAGCACATCAAGAAGAACATAGAAAGAAGAGGCGCCAGGATGTCAACATTTCCTAGCAGGATACCACACTGGCAAATCACCATCGTCAGAAGCAGGGCTCTGTTCGACAAATAAGACGTTATTATTTATGAGCAAAAATGATAAACTTTTTAAATGTTTGGCTGGATTGTAGCTATAAAAGTACCTACCATTTCATCGTATTTTTCAATGCACAAAAGGTATTTTAGTGAAATAGCAAGGCATTCACAACTCGAATTATGTATACTATGATAAGAGCCATATAATGTTACCCCACTGTTTTAGTAGTAGATTGGCTGTTTTCACAATGATCATAATGATTTCTGTTACATTCCTAATTTTTTACTGTTAAAAACATTAACGTTCTGTGCCACCTATTTATACAACGCAAACATAATTTCTACTCATTTGAATCTTATATAATATTATTATAAAACAACGTATGGAAGTCTTAAGAACTAATAAAAGTATGTGATTGTTTTAATTATACGAGTACAATATGAAATATGCCCTTTTTACTTAACTTTTTTCTTTTGTTTTTACTGGTGAGTTTCGAGGTGTATTTACAAGTTTAATTTTACCTTGTTGGTTCTCCCCTGCTTGAAGAAACGGCAAATGGTGCCAGAAAGGGTATGATCTCGTCTTTGGCAATGGCTTGCAGCAGCCTAGGTGCACCGGTTAGTGATTGCAGGCCCGCGCCCAGGGTCGATAGGAAGGAGCCCACCAGGATAACCCATTGGTTCGGCCATGCCATATTTGCTACCACTAACTTTCCACCTATAGATTGCCCGAATCTGGATAAAGGAAGTAGAATTTTAGAAACAAGCATTGAATTCACTATCAGAAACAAGTAAAGTGAATGTCAGAGAACAATAAAAATAATAGTTTAATATATTACTTGTCACGCAGTAGTAAATTGTCAACTGTGCCGGCGAACAGCAGCACGCATGATAAATACACGGTGGAAGTGGTTAAGATAGCACCGATCGTTCCTATTGGAATACTCTTCTGTGCATCGGCTAAATCTCCAGAACGATTGGAACCGGCCATAATACCTGTGAGCAAAATGGATTGTCAATTTTTCCATATTATCATATGGCAACTATGGTAATAATAATTTATGTCAGCGCTTTTAACAATACCTGTTACAGATGGGAAAAATATTCCGATGAGTATGGTGAAGGTAGTGGTAAGATCAGCGTACACTTGGTTGTATGTAGGTCGTTCCATTTGTTCAATATCCTCGGGCTCTTTGCCGTATGCAATATATTGACCTTCTTGGAGAAACGAGTCCTGTAAGTTATCGAAAAATACTCCACTAGCTAATCCCTGAAAATGAAAAAAAAAATTTTAACGTCACTGTTCAGTTATTAGAAGCTGAATATTTGGATGTTAAGGTGCTGAGAAACCTTGATGCCCTGGACAATGGAGACATTGTGCGCCTGGAAGTACGGGTCACAGGTTTTGTTGGCGCAGAACAATTTATAAAGTTCACCGTTCGGATCCTTCGTGCAATTGCTGATGTGTATGTCCTTTAATAGACGTTTTCCTAGTACGCACATCCTGAAATTATTATAAACACAAAGATATAGATACTGTTTTTCATCTAACCATTGATAATAAGAGTAGGCAATGTGTTAAAGGAATAAATTAAAAGTTCTTAACTAAGTCTTAGTATGAAATTATAGATATAACGACGCCAAAACAACTTAAGAAATAAGATTTCAAATAATAAAAAACTGGTTTCCACAGTCATTTGACAATTGAAAGTTTTCAGGAATGGTAAAATTAAATCAAATCAATCTTTTGATCACAGATTATCTAAAGATATTGGATACAAGGACTGAATAGTTACACTGTGATCTGCCTAAAAGGCATACAATATTAGTAGGTTAGTCATTGTCAACTAATCTAATCAATAACATGTTATGTCAAAATTTAATTCATTAATTAAGTAATCACACAATTGCAAAGTACTGTCAGCTAGATACTCGTTTACACTATAATATGCTTTAGCTACTAATAATTTGATAATTGGTAAAAATAATTGGACGTTAGTCCATATTGAACAATTTTTTAAAACTTTCTCCCCTCTCGATTATTTCACATTATTTGAAATTCTATGCTATTCTAAAGTTATGATAATATCGTAAAATACTATACTATTGGTAAAAAAAATATTCATATGTGCTTCTCATAAGTCATCAAGTTGTAATTTTTATGTTTCATGTTTATCAAGTTGTTATGTTTTATGTCAGTTTAAAGTTAATTATTTAGTTGCGTAAAAAATACTTACTGAAGATTTTGATTCCCGTAAAAGTTGACGAATATTCCGACGTAGACCGCAGTGATTGACAGTATGACGCACGCGAGCGCGACGGTTGCGAACTTGTTGACAAATTTAACGCCGACGAACACGACCATGCCCATCACGAGAAGAAGACAGGTGCCATACACTCGGAAATTGTTATACATCGCCTCTGGGTCTTTTGTGAAGTCGCCGAAGATGGATATCCATGGTGCCATATACGTCTGCAGAAACCAATAACATATGTGGTTTAGATGGAAAAACTCTCTTGGTTACCGAATTCAAAGTTAAAATAGCCTTCGCGGATATGGTACATCAATATGTAAAGACTTTGTCTATGAGAGATGATATATTTTACATACTTAGTCATTCTTTTTAGATTGGTAAGGTTTGTGCAATTATTCTTCTTATACTGATATTCAACAGCGCTATCCTTTATAAAGTAAATATTTGCGGCGTTAATGATCAAGAAAAAAACAGAGTTGTGCAACTTTTCGAATACTTCATTTAATACAATTAGGGTTGGTAAAAGGGACGATAACTCGGATAATGATAGCGTCTACCTAGTCATTTACTATGTCTTATACCGTTGAAGAATCTATAGCGTTGATGAATTTGAATTTACCAAAACGATCTCAACAGCGCCGACGATGTACATGGCGGCTGCTAGTGTGGTGCCAGTGTAGAAGAGCATGCCAACTGCTCCACCGCACTCGGGGCCCAGCGCCCGCCCGATCATGAAGTATGACCCCCCCGCCGGTACCACGCCGTTGGTTGCAATAGCGGACATCGATATGGCAGTGAGCATCGTCTGGAATGTATATTAAAGCATTACTTATTTAAATATTAAATAATATATATATATATTAATGTTATAAAAAGGAAAGATCTGATTGTTTGTTTGTTTATGTAACGGTCTGGGCCAATTTTAAAAATTCTTTCGCAACAGCAGTCAGTAGAGTCATCAAAGTTTAAAACCTTAATGTAGCCCATAATATTTGCTTGTGCGTTTGAATTATACGGTACCTATCAACCTTAGCATGCCGCTCGCTGCGTAAAGAACTACTTCCGTAAATGGAGCTCTTTTTAATACGAGATTGATAATTGCATATTTTTCGATTAATCCATCAAGTTTATTCAAAATTACGAAATTTTTGAATACAGTTCAACTATTGAAATTAAGTTCAAAATGGCATTTTAATTTGTTGTTATCCGATTTTGGGTGTCACACGGCTGCTCGTCAGTTTTCACAATATGTCAAATTTTTTCAGTTGATTATGCATAAGCCACTAAGGTTTAAGACGGAGAAATTTGATAGATTTGCATAACACGAGGAGCTGCTGACCGTTAGGCTAATTTAAAATAGCAGTGAACCAATCACACAAATAAACTACTAACTGAATTAAAACATTACCGTGCAACAGCAAGTGAGGACAATAAGGAAGCCTTGTATAGCTCCTGCAGTGCCGACGACCCATGTAAGACGGATGAAGAGAATAACACCGAAGATGTTCTGTATGCAGGGTAAGTAAACGCCGATGAGTGTGCCCATACGAGCAGGTGGCTGCGGCTTGGCGGCATCAGGGTCACAACTTGACGCTGTCGGGATGGTGTTCGAATAGTCCGCAAGAGAGCTGAGGAATGTTGCCGCACGAGGCCTATCTTCAAGTTCATCCTGAAATATAAACAACAATGGATAAGGACAATCTGATAATGGACGGATCTTCAAAATATAGTTCGGCTGTAATATCTGACAAAATAAGTGTAGTTCGGTAGCGTAAGGAGTAAACGTTGCAGCTAGCGGTCGTTGCTACTAAGTAACTTTCGCAAGGGGCGGTCACGGGTGAACAAAAAATTATTATCTCGAGCTACTCCGTGCTTCGGAAGGTTGGCTGGTTCCAATGCATTTGCAGTAGTTAATACCCTCCAATGGCGAGCTTGAATAATTATTGCTTATTCTCCTTAACAAAATTTTGTAAACTATATCTTTAGGCTAGGACCGTTGAGGAGTAGACAGAGATGAACAAGTGCAACAAAGCACGGTATCTCCTTACAAGAGTTTCGGTTTCTTTTTACATACCTCGTAGCTATATAATATTTACATAACTTTAATGATGATCGTAAATATTTACATATCTCTAATATATAATAGTCGGGAGGAGGTTTTCCGTAGGTTATTAATTAAATGATAGGCGCCCGAGTTCAATAGCATTTTCTTGGCTAAGTTTTGAGATACTTTTTATAAAAAGTTTTTATTTCATGCTTTTTAGTTATATCGATATTTTATTATATAATAGGTAACACTAATATATTTATATAAATATTCAACTATAATGAAAGTCTTAGAATAGGAGATTTTGTTTATTTGCTCGACATATTTTTTTTCAATAATTCTATTACTCCGGAATATTTTAAAGATTTCATTGCTTGTTTGTTTGCATTGGATTGGCCTGAAACTATTGAACCGATTTATAAAATTCTCACATCAACGGAAAAATACATAATACATGACTAACATAGAATATAATTTACGTAGGCGAAGTGGAGATTGTAATTCATAATTCATTATGAATTATGAATTACGATAAAATTTAAATGGGATCACCTCCATCCATCAAGTGCTCGAATAAAAAAGAATTTTGAACGTTGGTCAACAATTGACGAAAATATTGGTGAAAATAAAATAAATAAATAAATACATAGAAAGACAATACATAGCCTTCGAACATATAACCTCCTTTTTTAAATTTTGAAGTCGGTTAAAAATGGTTCGCGATTTGATTGTCCCTGTTTTTCACTTTTGCTTTGTATCTATATTCAGTTATTTATTCATTCGGCATTCTTGTATGAATGAATTAATGATTACACTTTATTGTTTAGTGCAACAAGCATAAAAGAAATAGAAATATACATATCTTATTGCTAAGGTAGCAATTCGAAGTACTATTTAGATATCTAAATAGTAAAAGATCAATTTTTATTTATCCGGAAATCGAATATGTTACAACATATTGCAAATTGTGACCCTAATCACGTCACTGACATAAAATACGTCCGTCATTTGAAGGAATTATGTTGAGGTAAATGCGCTCGAAAAATGCTCGCTCACTCATGGCCACTTTACGCGTATTAAGTAGATAACTAGTCAACTTTTGAAACTTAATTTTAAGTGATTAAGTACGCGTAAACACACTATTATATAACAAGTAGAAATTTAAATTTAGTTATCAATTTATTAGCTTAATTAGAGTTTTGTATGTTTTTCGATTAAGTGGGTGGGCTGGTTAATCGTTTGACAAGTTTGGTTGGAAAGGCTCGATATCAATATAGTATGTATAGTTTAAAACTAAGTAGCTTCCCGCTGTCTGTACGCTGGAATCTTTTAACAACAAACAGAGTGATTCAAGGTGAAGTTTTTTATGTTATATATAATAAAGGACCATGCGGATGAAGCCAGTAGTGGAAAGCTAGTTATACTATGTATTGATGGGAATATCCATAGATTAGGACGTGACATGACCAACTAGGTGCTATAAATACAGCAGCTGTCCTTCCAGCTGCGCTACAAGAGACCTACCGAGATGTTTAGATATATTATCTCAACATAGGAATACGCTTGCTTGTAATAAGTGACAAATACTTGAAGTAATCGCCAGTATCTCCGGTAGTTACATTGGAGATTACTATTACTAGAACACTCCTAAAACTTAACATCGAGTTTTCATTCGAGTCCTGCTTGGTTGTGTCTGATACGGTGTTCTCTCAAATATTTTTATATTATTAATAATTATTTGATCAATTTTGCATTCATATATTCTGAAAAAATATGTTTAATAAAAAAGGCTAAAATATCCACCAGCCACAAAAAAGATAGCTTGAGATTAAATTACTAGTTTTATACCATATCTTATTACAAAGTACGTATTCCTTCCAATATGATTTCACATTGCTTTTAACGGAGATCAAGTAATGTATATCTCAATCCGTTCACAGCTTATTTTTGTTTCAAATAACAAATAGATGTTTTTATATTAGTGTTAAAATTAAACGAAATAAAAGTTAAAAAGGGCACCATCACATTTGCGACGTCCATGAAACCTGATTCAAATTGTGATATATGGACAAAGTAGGGTTTTTAATTTGGTACGTGTAACGCGATATACGATGGTCGGGTGTACGGTGGGAGCTCGCGTACGCCCCGAGGCACTCGTATTTTATTTACAGGCCATTTGCATCAGTCTAGTGCCCGTAACGTCGTTTCGCGGAAGGATCTCGCCGCTCGCACGTATCTACTTGTATATCTATACGAGTTCTGAACGAACGGTTTAAACTTAGATATTTTTATTTTCCAGACAGTTTTCTAGTTGATAAGTAGGGCATATGAAGAATATATGACATAGCATATAATGGATATGCATCGCTTGCGATGTGGCAAACGGTGTGCAAAATGAGCAACATAAATAATAATCAATATCATATATTAGACATTCAATCTTTACATTATACGTAATTATGGTGTTTTTTTTTCTTTTTTTATTACGCTCATACTGGTTTACAACGATCACATAAATAGATAGAAACAGTTGAGACTACATTAAAACCTACTCGATGTAAGCACAATATGTATAAGTATGTTAATGTAATGAAAGTTTATATTCTAATGGCTTATTTACTATTCTAGAGACATTTAAAATTGTTGTTAATAAAGGGTCTAGAATATATTTTTACTGTATTATACACTTTGCTGTTGCAACCGTTATTTCGTTTTGTTTTATATGATTTGAATTGTTATTTGTTTTATGCACCATCTGGAAGAAATCGCTGGCTAGCGATAAAGCCGCCTTATGTACGTTTTTATGTAAAGATTTATGTTTGTCCATGTAATTTTAATATGGTTTGTGCAATAAAGAGTATTTATTTATTTATTTATTCTTTTTATAATATTTTTGATTGATTGTTTCAAATTTTAATGTTCAATCATTGTTGAAACTTAATGTGTCGTTACGCTTGAATTTAAACATGGGTTTTAGTTTTTATTTTGCTATAATAATTAATATCTACTATAACAATTAATTTTTGGTCTGAATAGCTCCAATGCCAATGTCGTGTCACTTATAAAGGTATGCATGAAACTTATATTTAGCAATGCTGTATTGCTAAATGAATAAATATATTTTTTTGCCCAGAGCGGTCGAATAGCTAGATTGAATATGTGTTGCCATGTAGGTCAGTAACGGTACTGTGTATACAGAATTAAATAATATAGCTGAGGATAATGTTTAAATCAAATGAACAATATAAACGAGCAATACTTAAAAAACGATGTGAATTTTCTGTATTAACTCGGGTCTAGGTGTTATGGTTTTCCTCCTTTGTTGATCTTTTGGTGGACAAACGAATAAGTTTGCAACAGTGCTGTCAAATCCATAATCATAATCCTTTATTATTCGTTTGTCGTTGTTACATGTAAAAAGTAACAACGACATATAAAAAGGAGTAAAATAAAATAAAAAATAAAATTGCGAAAATGTCTCCTATGGCTAGAGAATTATCATTAATAAATGCACGTTGATTAATGTCCAATATGTTTCAACATTTTACCTTTAGACTTTAAATATATATAACAAGTTATACGAATAAACTGAAATACTCGTTGGCGTTTACCGAGGTGAATGTTGAAAATAAAATTAACGTTCATTAAAAGTTTTCGAACATACCCAACGCCATTTAAGGAAATTCATGAAGCTATTAGAAATTAATATGCTCCCTGGTATAAGTGTTACGCTTTAATATATTTCCTTTTAAGGAGAATTATTAATTAATTATTCCATGTGATTTGTGATTTCATTACGAAATTACTGTTCCTAGTAAATAAAATTCTAACTGCGCTAAGAACTTTGTTGCGACCTAGAATTGAAACATTCGAGTCGTCATATAGTATAGAAATTCAGTAGAATGCAGATAAGAAGATCAGAGTTATAATAACATATATAACAGAGAAATAACAAATCTAGGGTCACGGCAGTGGCACTATCTATGTTCTCGAAACGCTTCATCGGATTTTTGGATAGTTATTGTACATTAATCCTTTCAACGGGCAACAGAAATTGCATAATAAGTTAACAATGAGTAATAAAGTACTCTATGGAATAAACAAGGCGACGTTAAAGTTTCGCCGCGAATAAATTGGTCTGATTAGTTTCAAGTTGACAGATCATTAGCGGTTGGCAGTTCAGTGACGAGAGTGGTGGAACTTGCCGCGTAATAAAGTCATTCATCACGGTTCCCGCTACAGTTTCTGAAGTGTTGAGAATGAGGTTGAAACATTATACGCAACAGTGAAACACTAGGTATAGATTATATAAGAAACATTAAAGTACTTACACACGTGTATAATGTCTTATGATATGTTTATAAACTAATTACAGTTATCACAACCAGACTTAACCTTAATTTATACATCAAGATATAAAATGAAGTCGTAAAATTCCGATGGTCGCATCTGGCGGGATCGATTTACGTAATATTCGATTTGTAGGATTTGCCCGGAATAGCGGAATAACTATTTTAAAACATTTGAAAATTTATGATTGAAGTAGTTTATGACGTTCGTCTGGATAGGTTTTTATTATGACAGTTGTCAAGGTTCGCAAATACAATTATGGCTATATTTAT